GTGCTATACCGGTGGAGTTTCAGGAATATGCCGACGTGTTCTCCAAGGAAGGAGCCACTCGACTACCTGATCACTCTGAATGGGATCATACCATTCCTCTTGTGGAAGGAAAGCAGCCGCCGTGGGGACCAATCTATTCGCTCTCCCCACCTGAGGATAAGGCACTCCGGGAGTATTTGGACGAGAACTTGCCCTCCGGCAAAGTAGTTCCCTCCACTAGCCCAGCAGCGGCACCCGTCCTGTTCGTTCCGAAAGCTAATGGTAAACTTCGGTTATGTGTCGATTTTCGCGGCCTGAATGGAATCACAATCAAGAACCGTTATCCACTGCCGCTCATGAACGAGCTGGCCGGCGCAACGAAAGGAGCACTCTACTTCACGAAAATAGACCTGAAAAATGGCTATAATCTGATTAGGATTGCTAAGGGCGAGGAATGGAAAACCGCTTTCCGAACGAAATACGGCCTCTTCGAATATAGGGTAATGCCTTTTGGCTTGACCAACGCTCCTGCGTCGTTTCAGGTCATGGTCAATACCATATTCAAGGATCTTCTAGATCAAGGCGTAGTAGTCTACTTGGATGACATCTTAATGTATTCGAAGACTAGAGAAGAGCATACGACTCTTGTACGGGAAGTTTTGGAGCGACTGCGACGACACCATCTATACGGAAACCTCGAGAAAACGGAATGGTATCAACAGGAGGTAGAATTCCTGGGATTTATACTATCAGGAAAAGGGAACCGAGTATCACCAAAGAAAGTCCAGGCGATCGAAGGTTGGTTAGCCCCAACCAAGGTCAAGGAACTTCAATGCTTCCTCGGCTTCGCCAATTTCCTAAGACGGTTCATCCACCGATACTCCGAGGTTTGCAGACCTATGACCGACCTCCTGAAGAAAGGTTCCGTATGGAAATGGGGCAGGGAACAGCAAGATGCGTTCGACGAGCTCAAAAGGAGATTTACGTCTGCTCCAATACTCCGACACTATGACGAACACCGCGAAGCAATCGTGGAAACTGATGCGAGTGACTGGGCTGAGGCCGCAGTACTCTCTCAGGTGTTCGAGGACGGTATCCTACATCCGGTAGCCTACCACTCTCGCAAGTTCAACGAGGCAGAAGTCAACTATGAGATCTATGACAAGGAGATGCTCGCAATAGTTTCTGCTCTTCTGACTTGGAGACATTGGCTGGAAGGGACGGACATCCCTATCCAGATACATTCGGATCACCAAAACCTGCAGTATTTCACAACGACCAAGAAGTTGTCGAGAAGACAAGCCAGATGGGCCGAAAAGATAGCACCTTTTCGCTTCAAGATCCATTACCGACCAGGCGAAAAGAACGGCAAGCCAGATGCACTCACAAGGCGTCCGGAGTTCGCGATGGAAGGGGGAGTAATGCGTGAGCAGCCCGTAAAACAGCTACTCAACGCAGAGCAATTTGTCAGAAAATCACGGACCAGCATAGAAACTGGGTCTGAGGTGATTGGCAACCCCGAAGAGGAATGGAATCAGTTGGATCAGTGGTACGACATACCAAGCGTAGGGCTGCCTCAGCCACTACAGGGTTGGTATGAACAGGAAAGACGATGGGTTCGGAGGATGGTTCCGGATGAACACCTCCCTGACTCAAACCTTGAGATCTTCGGACCACCGGAGGCTGCTATCGTAAAGGTAGAGCCTGCCGCTGAATGGAGTCCCGATTCGAATGACCCCACCCACGAGGGTCGATGGGTAGTACCGGGCTACGCGGTCAAGCAGGTCATCGAGGAACATCATGATCGACCCGTAGCGGGGCATCTAGGAAGGGATAAAACCCTTGAGTTGATCGATAGGAACTACTGGTGGCCAGGAATGTCCACGGATGTAGCCAACTTCGTCAAGACTTGCGATGTATGCCAGAGAGCCAAGCAACGTCGGAGACACTTGTCACTCCCTCAACCCCTAGAGTTAGCCACCACACCTTGGACTGATATCTCAATGGATTTCGTAGTAGAGATGCCAAAGGAGAAGTCAGGATTCCGTAACGTATTGGTAGTTGTGGACCGTTTTACGAAAATGGCTCATTTCATTCCAATGACGGGAATCAACGCGGAACAGACCGCTAACGCATTTGTCAAAGACATCTGGCGTTTCCACGGACTTCCTAGGAGCATCGTCTCTGATAGAGGAACACAGTTCGTGTCAGCATTCTGGACGACGATTACGGAAAGATTGGGAATTCGTAGAAGACTCTCAACATCATTCCACCCGCAGACCGATGGCCAGACAGAACGGACCAACCAGCACATGGAAGGTTATATCCGGGCATATACGGCAGGCACCGGCAAGAAGTGGAAGGACCTGTTACCTATCTGCGAATACGCCTACAATAATGCGAAGCACACGTCAACGGGACAATCGCCGTTCTACTGCAACTATGGTTTCCACCCTCGAACGGACTGGCCTACAGATGCAGAGATCGAACGCCTAGATGCCAATGGGAACAACTACTTGGACGAGATCATAACAGCTCATGAGTTAGCGAGAGATACGCTACAGAGGACGTTCGACAGGATGGCATCAAAGCCAGGACCAGCAGTACAGCGGTTCACTATCGGTCAGAAAGTCTTGCTGGATACTCGGAACCTAGGAGGATACTCCAAGTGGTCAGATAAATTTACAGGACCGTTCACAATCTCAGCGGTGATAGGCAATCGGGCTTACCGCCTTGAACTTCCGGTAGAATGGAAGGTTCATGACGTATTCCACGAAATGCTGCTGCGGCCCTATCGCGAGGACCCGGATCCCACTAGGCAGCAAAACACACGAAAACGACTAGCAACACCTGAGCCACAGGAGGCATTGGCGGATGAGAACTTCCAGCCAACCTCGAACATACGACCCCATACGCGAAGTCGAGGCCCAGCGATTGATGACGAACGGGCTCACAAACGACAACGGAATAGGCGGGACTAAGCTCGATACCTTTCCCCACTCTATGACTTTTTCCCACAGGGTTTTTTTATCATAGAAGGGTTTTAACGGTCGAGGGCGACGTCTAGGAAGGGGGAGTAGTGTTACAGGAACTACGGAGCGCTGTCCTAGAAGCGAAGGACAGTAAGGAATACGAGTGACGGGTTGTGATGCGAGGACGGTCGGGTAACGAAAGGACAAGCATAGAAAGGTATCGGGTAGTGTGGGGGCACACGGTGTTACCACACTAGTACTATACTATTATGACGGCACGCTTACTATTGGGTGTCTCACCCGGAATAGAATAGAAAGCGGGGCTTACGGCTGTAGGCTGTTCTACTTAGGGAAGTAGGTCTAGGATAATAGTATGGTACAGCCCGATGACTGGCAATTGCAAGGTTCATGGTTACGTGTCGGAATTAGAATGGAGTACGGAACTATGCGGGGGCGCTTTTCTATCTGGGTTATCTTCGGGAACGTTATCTTATTCTATTATCGTTGTATCAGTTAGTATTAGGAAGCGGGCCTTGGCATAGGTTCCAACATGTATAAATAGGGCTAGATTCTGCGAAGACTTGAGGGTATCATCAACCATCAAAGTCAAGGGAATCCGGTTTACAATATCATCAGTTTAAACGCTACAGAATTATCGCTTAGCACTGGCCATTTCCCCAAACATTTTCAACCAGTGAAGCAGAGTTCTTCAGATTAATGGTGAACACCCGGTACATCTTACAATTTAGCGGCGAGAAACACACCAACCCTTTTGATATCAAAGTAGGATAGGAGTAAGGTTACCTAATAGAGTGAACTTAAGGATTGATTTACTCGTTTATTTCCCCACATTAATTTGATTTTTACTGGCGGGAGATGATTACTTTGTAATTTAATCAACGCATTTGCAGCTGGGTTCGTTTGCTGAGGTGGGAACTGGATACATTTACTGATGCAGTTATAAAGCGGGTAGGGACTACTGCCGTGAAGAACTGGAATTGGGAATCCGAACAATCATGGCAACAGGATACTCGAGTTATAATAAACTACTTTTACAATTTTCAGGATATTTGGGTTACAGTAGATTGTTTTTACAATTTTTACCATACCCTACCCTATGGGGCAAAACTCGGGCCCGTAAGTTGAACATGTACTCGATTCCGTGTATCATATATAAACATTCAACTGTAGTTCCAGAAACTATACAATCTACTTCTTTAAAAAGTAGAGATATTATTAAATTATGAAGAGTTTAAGGTAAGCTTCACAATGGTTACTTTTTGTTTATAGAAACACTATAAAAGGTAAAGTAAATTGTACGGTGCTTTATTTAAAAGGATTGTAACGTCATTGGTGAAGTTCAACTTAAACAGTACGGGATTTTCATTAACACAAATCAAACTTTGTGAGGTTTGTGTAACGCACCATATCTATGATCTAGGATAAAATAAATGCCATACCTCATACGCCCTTGGTATTGTGCACTACCTAGTAGACCTTGTATTCTCCCGGCGCTTCTAACACACTCTATCTAAACTTCGTGCCAAAATCTAAACTATTTCGCGATTCGAACCGCGGACCTAGCACCTCCGAAGTCTCCCAAAATGGTAAAATGTTCAGATTGTAAAATTAAGGTTTTCACAGTTATGTTACCCCCTTTTGATAAACTCGAATAATTATCGGGTTTCGATGAAAGGTCCCCATACAGGTTTTGTACCAGCCATACAGCCAAGGGACGCAGTGCGGTAGGTGCTATTCAATGAGATATATAATTATTCACGTTCTCAAACATTTTATCCTTTTTCTGTGGAGTTTCACATGTAGACCTTTAGCTTTGTTATCAGCAGCGGTCATTGCCTTGTCACCCAATACTTTCTGCATTGTTGATGTTCGGTTTCATTACAGGCAATTCTTTCTTCACATCTACAAAGAAACAAGATCAGTCTCCCGAACACACATTTCGCAGCGTAAACCACCAAAAAGGTAATTTTTATTCCTTTCACTTTTACAGTTTCCCATTGCATTTACTACTTTCCATCTCTCCCCCAACTATCCCCTGGCACTTCCCCCCGCCGAGACTCTCAGGCGCTCCTCCTCCGCAACTTCCACCACTTTCCTGTCCTGCACGCCCTCCAAATATCCGAGATAAGTGCAATTGAGGTCAAGGACCTTGTCGAGATACTCCTTCGTGAGCAGCAAGTTCTGGATATCAATCGTCCACGCAACCTCGAACGGCAGCGTGTTGGTGGTAACGTCGTACCCGTGCTGGATGAGCTCGCCCATGACAGTGTTCTTCTCGGAAAGCGTGGCAAGGAGCTTGGCGTTGGTTTTGTGGATCCATTGGACGATATCCTGGAGTGTGACGGCATAATCGGTGGTGGGGAGGGATTGAGAGGCTGAGGACATGTTAGACTGGTCCTCCGGGGCGGTGTCAGCGGGTGATTGCATGTTTTGAGACATGGTGGATAATTTGCAGTTGTGTCTTTTTTTGGGTGCGAAGGGTTTTGACGACGTTTGTGAAAAGAATGTTGCACTTGGTTTTTTCGACGAGTGTGGTGATATAAAAGAAATGCCAAGCCCGCATATATCGCCAGTTTCTTTGCAATACGGGATGAACCGGGCGTCACTAAGTCACATTTAGCGCTTGTGCAATAGCTTATTGTTCATTGAAATGGGGAGGAGCTTTACACTGAATGGGGTACACTCACGAGGGAGAAAAAAAGAATTCAATAACCCCAGTTTGGTAATTGCCAGTGGACCAGTAGGCTTATTACTACTATGTCATGTCATTACTCCGAAAGCTGGAGAGAACTGTGAAAATTTAAAATCTGATCTAATTCATGAAGCCATGCACTGACCTCAGCTACGTTGTCAATGGGCTGTGAGACATGGTGCTGCTATAGAGCTATATTTGTGCGTGTTTAACGTTTTCACTGTTCATGTTCATGATCTCGCCTTCATACGGGACTGTCTGGTTCATGATCATGGGTACGCTCGGAGATTGAAAAGATATTTGAGTGGTGGGATGAAGTGATAAGTCTTGAAATAAGGGCGCTCGGCACGTTTCATAGTTCTGGAAGATTCTCATCATTTCATTATAGTATTTGTCATCGGCGTATGACTCACTTTCCTATTAGTCATTCTATTACTCACACGTCTATGACTCATTGTATTTCTTTTGTACTACATTTCTTTAGTATAAATACGGGGCATCCCCCTTCAGCTAGCACAATCAATACGATCAATTACTTTGCTTCTCCTACATACTTTCTCTAGGTTATGAGCCCGGAGACCACTCACGTTTACACACTCTTCACCATTTTTACCACAAAGTACACTTTCTCGTTTCACTTTCAACCATGTCTGAGAGGAGCATCAAAATTCCCGCACTCCCATGCAAGCTGGATGGTCAAGGCCATTACACTGTATGGAGGGACCTTGCTACCCGCATGTTGAAAGTTCACGATCTGTGGAACTTGGTCAATGGTTCGAGCAAGCGTCCCGTGTTGACAACCACCACCACTACTGTACCTACCACGGCACCACAAGCATCAGGAAGCGTAGCTGAGGCTGAAGAAGACGAAGAAGAAACCTCCGACAACGCCGAAGAAATCAGCGACTGGGACAAAAAGGACAACCTTGCAGTTGTATTCCTTCAATCTAACATCGAATTCGAAGTTATTCTCACGCTGACACCGGCCGACACCGCTCATCACCTCTGGACTCAACTTGAGGACAGATTCGATCGGAAAACCGTCGCCTCCCTCCACTCGCTCCTCGCCAATGTCGTCACACTACAGTACACACCCGACAAGGGTATCAAGGAACATCTAACCCAGTTCAACACTCTTTGGTCATCTCTCCTCACTAGAACTAGTAACTCTACGGACAAGACCAAAGATCCACTCGGTTACCACCTTCACCAACTCGGATCTGTCTCAGAAGCGAAGGTATCCTTCCTACTCCTCTCACTCCGGCACGAATCCCTCGAATCAGTCGTTGACAACCTGCAAACCAAGCCCAACGTCACCTTCGATGACGTCTACGAAAAGCTGTTGGATCTGGACTCACGGCGCAACAACGATGGACAGGCGGCTGGAGAAGCCTACACAATCAGGCGAGGAAACCCAGGACATGGAAACAGCAACAGAGTCAGGAGGCCACGTAACAACGAAACAGGAAATCGGGACGTCACATGCACCTGGTGCACCAAGAATGGAGAATATGCAAAAGGCCACACGCACAAAAATTGCCGGAAACTCAAAGCTTTCAGAGACAAGGAGAAGTCCGCTGCATCTGGCAATCTCAACGTCGCGTCCGGTACTGCATTTCACACAAAACTTGACCTCTGTTGGATCCCCGATCTTTCTGGCCTTCCCGCACTCGAAGAAACCGATGTATTCACAATGCCGGTTGACTTCGACCTCACCAACTTCTCAGATGACACCTCGGATATTACCATGGAAGACTACTTTGGCTTCATTGCAGGACCTTCCACCACCGACAACAAGGCATGGATCTTCGACCCTGGTGCAACCAACCACATGACCGGAACGCTGGTTACCGACCCTACTCCCCACACTGGAACAGTTACTGTTGGAGGAGGTCGCAAACTCCAGATAACCGGAATTGGCAACGTCACCATCAACGGATCACATGGCCTGATCACTCTGCAGAACGTATTCTTGATCCCCGAACTAGGCAATACCAACCTGATGTCTTGGGCTTGCATCGCTAAAAAGGGATTCACAACAATTGGGACAGAAAACGGCTTTACCATCTACAAACCGAATAGCAAGGAAATCATCGGGATCGCTAACGCAAATAGTACTGGTCTCTACATTTTTGAAACCAAGGAACCCTGCGCACACCTCTCTGCCGCCACCAGCTTCTATGACTGGCACCAACGGCTCGGACATCTCCCCGCTTCCTCGCTCTCACGGCTTCGCACCATGGTCGCCGACCCCAAGACTCTCCCCACATCTGGTCACATGGAAACATGCAACACATGTGAACTCGCTAAATCAACCAAGTCTCACCTCGCTCCTCTCACCGAACCACAATCCAAACAACCACTGGAACTAATACACTCAGATCTGAGCGGCAAGTTCTCGACTCCTTCTCTGGGCGGTTTCAGTTACTATATCACTTTCATCAACGATTACTCCAGGTACGCTCACCTCTACTTCCTCAAAAAGAAGTCAGATGCAGCAGCTGCCACAGAACGATACATCGCATACATGGAAAATCAATTGGACAAAACGGTTAAACGGTTTCGAAGCGACAACGGTGGTGAGTACATCTCCAATGACCTTCAACAATTTTTGGCCTCTAAAGGCATAAAGCATGAATTCACTGTACCTTACTCTCATGAGTCAAATGGAACAGCAGAATGCTTTAACAGGACTATAGCAACAATGGCACGATCCGCCTTGCTCGACCACAACCTCCCAAAAAATCTATGGGCAGAAGCGATCAACACCATGGTACACGTCAAAAATCGACTCCCGCACAAATCACTCCCGAATATGACACCATACGAAGCACTCACCAGCAAGAAACCCTTTATTGGGCACCTCCGATCCTTCGGTGAAAGCATGTTCATACACATACCCGTCGAAGCACGACCAGCTGGAACAAAACTGGATGCTAGGGCTATAACGGGACAATTCTGCGGATACGGAGATTCTGAGAAAATCTGTCGCGTCTACATACCATCACAAAGGAAAGTAGTTCTCTCTCGTCATTTTAGGTTTAAAGGTACATCCGTAGGGGAAGAAATCGAAGTCAAAACAAAAACCGACACACCCCCTAAACCAAAACAAATCGAGATCAAACAAGAACCATCCTCACGTCCGTCAACACCAAAACAACGTAGGACATACGACGACGACCCAAGCGACGACGACATGATCAACCAACAGATAATGCGTGAAACCATGGAACATTTCTCCGACACCGATTCGGAAGACCACGCAAGTATAGTGGGGGCCGGCTATACGAGGCCCGCCACTGAACGTACCCCGCATGATGATAATGAAACAGATACTGATCAACCGAGACGTAACCCAGCACGGGAACGGAAACCTCCGGTCAGATACGGACACAACATTCAGCATGACACTACCCTAACAGAACCAACAAACTACCACCAAGCGATCAACAGTCCCAACTCCGAAAAATGGCAGAATGCTATGAAAGTTGAACTCGACTCACTCGCAAGGAATAACACATGGAATCTGGTCAACACACCGGATCACCGCAAACTGGTCGACTGCAAATGGGTATACAAAATCAAACTCGGGCCCGATGGCAACCCCATACGGTACAAAGCCCGACTAGTCGCAAAAGGTTTCTCACAGGTCCCTGGTCAAGATTTGATCAAACCTATGCCCCTGTCACCCGATACGAATCCATCAGACTACTCCTCGCTCGCTGCCTTCAAACCGGCGGTCAATGCGATCAGATGGACGTCACAAGCGCATTTCTATACGGCGAACTTAAGGAAGAAATCTACATGAAATCTCCTCCAGGCTACCCCACTCCCGGCAAAGCATGCAAACTAATCAAATGCATCTACGGACTCAAACAATCATCAAGGGAATGGTATGCCTGCCTCTCAAAAGCGCTAATCAAAATAGGATTCAGAAAAGCAGACTTCGACCCTTGTGTCTTCATACACAAAACAGGGGAAGTTGTCATCGCAATATATGTAGACGATATCCTCATCTTCTACTGCTCCGTTGAACGCAAAAACCGCGTCAGCCTCCTCCTCCACTCTGAATTCGAAATGACGGAAACTGGCACGGCCAACTGGGCACTCGGAATCCACTTGATCCACACTAAGACTGGCATCATCCTATCACAGGAAGCCTATCTCAAGCGTGTACTTATCAAATACGGCTTCGACGAATCCAGACCAGTGACAACACCTATCGACAATAATGTCCACCTCCAAAAAGGAACGGAAGCTGAGAAAATCGACGATCCAACAATTTATCAGTCGATAATCGGTTCACTCATGTACGCAGTAATCGGCACTAGACCCGACCTCGCCTACACCGTCACCATGCGTTCGCAATTTTCCTCCTGTTCCACCAAGGCTCATCTAGCTGCAGTCCATCGCGTCCTCCGTTATCTCAAGGGCACCCTCGATTGGTCACTCCATTACACCAAAACGCGACCAACTGCACTCATTGGCTACAGCGACGCAAGCTATGCCTCCGACATCGACGATCGCCGTTCATTCACCGGCCACTGCTTCATGCTAGGGGAAGCTCTCATCTCCTGGCGTTCTTATAAGCAACGATCTGTCGCCACTTCCACAACAGAAGCGGAATACATGGCCCTCTCGGACACCAGTCGACAACTGATCTGGTTAATGAATGCAATCCACGAGCTGGAACAAAAACCGAATCTCTCTTTTATTCTTCGAGGCGACAACAACGGCTCTCTCTCTTTGGTTAAAAATCCTGTCTTTCATAAAAGGTCTAAACATATTGACGTACACTTTCACTTTGTTCGGGAACGATTTGAGGATGAATTATTTGAACTGGAATATATTTCTACGAACGAGAACGTGGCGGATTTACTTACAAAGGGATTGGATAAAGGCAAACATGTTTTATTTTCTTCTACTATTCACTGTGGCTCACGAGGGGAAGTCTTGAAATAAGGGCGCTCGGCACGTTTCATAGTTCTGGAAGATTCTCATCATTTCATTATAGTATTTGTCATCGGCGTATGACTCACTTTCCTATTAGTCATTCTATTACTCACACGTCTATGACTCATTGTATTTCTTTTGTACTACATTTCTTTAGTATAAATACGGGGCATCCCCCTTCAGCTAGCACAATCAACACGATCAATTACTTTGCTTCTCCTACATACTTTCTCTAATAAGTGGTTGATGTTTATACAAGTACAATTTGGGCAAGCTGTCTGAACGTGGCGTCACACGTGGACACTGGATAATACTATGTGGCAATGATATAGTATACTTATACATGTGTAAAAAGGGTGTAAAGGACAAATCACGCAAAGAACAAAGTGGGCATAAGTAACTGGAAGCTGTCCGTGTTTATTTATTCTCCTTTCCCTGTCATTGTCTTCTAACTTCCTGCCACCCTGGAGTACGTTTACATGCTCGAACTGGTATTCTTTCAGTAAGAGATGGCCAACAACAGCTAGCAGAACCACCTCCAAGTACCCCAGAAGAAACTCCGAACAACACGCTACAAGTCACACACGGAATTAGTCATCCAAGTAAAGCGGCAAGTCGCGATCACCCGGAATCGGTGGCTTCTTCTCTTTCCTGTGCTCCTCGGGGATGAGGTCGAGATAGACTCTATAGCTCTCGTCAACATCACTGTGGAGGTCGGGAGCATTGGCGAAGCTTAGTGCCAATGGGGTGGCTGGAGCTGCCCTCGAAGACGCAGCGGCGGTAGCGGGACTGGCGTGAGTCTCGGAAGCGGCGGCGGTAACCGTGGAAACATCAGGGGTTGAGGGCTGAATTATGTCAGTATGGTGGAAATCATAGTTTGGGCAATGATGGATTCTACATACAGTGGCTGCAGAACGGTGAACTACTGGAGGCGGCATGGAAATGTCGTCGGTGGTGCGGATGCCGTGTTTTTGGCGCCACTGACGGATCCATCCTGGTGGAAACACCACATCTACAAACACTTTATTAATGTGTTCTTCACTGAAACTGGCGAAAGATTATTCAAACTCACCTTTATCGAGCTCCGCCAACAGCACCCTCGCTTTTAAGTTTAGTGCTCTCTCCGTCACGCTCAACCCCATCCCGGCCGCCCCCCTACACCACACCTCCAATCCCCCTGCCACCTTCGCCAACACGCCCTCTTCTCGCACCCTCCTCCTCTCCTCTATCAACGCCCTCATCTCGTCCTCCATCGGCACCTCCACCACCCCCACCCCAGTAACCAACACCTCCTCCCCCTCCCCCTCACTATCACTCAACACCTCCATCGCACTCATCACCCCCTTCTCCCACCCTCCCACCGCCCTCTGCACCACTACAGCCCTCCTCCTCCTGCCCTCTCGCGCAGCCAGCCACCCCACAACCTCCCCCAGCCCTGGCCGCCGTCCGGTGCGGAGAACGCAGTCAACGATGAACCCCCAGGCGAGCGACTTGAGCTCCGCGCTGATGAGCCTGCGTGGCTTGGTCTGTGTGAGGCGGGTGATGGTGGCCGTGCTGGGGAGACGGCCAGAGTGGTGTTGTGCGAACCAGGTGGCGATGGAAGCGGGGGTGGGGCGTATCCCGGTGCGGAAGCGTAGGGTACGTGCGTGGGTGGTGATGAGGTTTCGTTCGTGGGTTGTGAGGGAGATGTACGGGATTGTGTGGAAGCTGGATAGGTGGGCGAGGGTGATGCCGGGGCTGGGGCTCAGGCTGGGAGTCGGGGTCGGGGTGGGGGACGAGGTAGGGGTTGGGGTTGGGGTTGGTGAGGAGGAGGTGGTGTTGAGAGCGGGAGCGGGAGAAGAGGGAGATTGAGACACGGCAGAGGAGGTGGAAGCGGGAGAGGGGGGTGGGGGGGAGAGGGTGGGTGATCTGGTGTTGGAGCTGGAGGTCGCGGTGGTGGTGGCTGAGGAGGAGGAGGCCATTTTGTCGTAGTTGTAGATTTGGACTTTGGTGAGGTAGTTTAGCCAGGATAAAGGTCTTTTGAGCTATGTAGTTTCTCTATGAAAGAGGTAACTAAGAAAGAGGCAGAAGATAGTTTGCGAAATGTTGGTGTTGATCCTGTTTCGTCTCGAGGTAGTTGACAATTGAGAAACAGCCTTAATACTACTGGGTGAATGTGTTCAATGGCCTTTTTCCTTTGATTGCTGATAGACAAAAATGTTGTGTTGAGGAAGTAAAGTAGAAGAGTGGGTGTTACAGACCCGTTGGCTTTTATAGCTAGCTAGCGCTCCGGGGCAACGCCCAATTATTCTTTGGACTCTGAGCCGACGGCTGCAAGGGGGGACTCGATTTATCCATTTAACCGTAGGTCCATACAATGTGCATGCTTCCTCTCTTGATGAAAAATAGATGGGAAAGCAACAGTGAGGGGGGAATTGGACCCTAGAATGTCTGTTTGATAGGAAACAACCTGTTATTTATTAAGCTAATTAATCTTATCATTATCGTAATTCGATAAATCCTAGTCATGAAATCACAATCAACCATTCACACATTCCCGCGCTATCCTCTGAACTACACGAAGTATGGTCACAAACATTCGCTTCTCTATCTCTACCGCACATCACCAGTTCCACTTTTAAGAAATCACGGCTTCATCCTCAAGCACTGAGCACGTCTCACATGAACATAACACTGCTGTTGCTAGTTTCCGACAGCCTGATCGTTGACATGTCGTTGCTGCCAAGAAACTGGTTGTGTTACAGACATGCAGATGCGGCTAGATTACCGTTGCCAAGAAAGCTTGTTCCAACATCAAGACTGTGCACTCACTGTGGTACATAAATGCGTTGTGTAGTTACACCATGTCCAGTTGTGTAATTACACCATCGTGTGGTGTAGGTAAACAACTGGCGTTGGGTGTGGTATTTTTCGCTGGTGGTGTAGTTACACTAACGCGTTGTGTAGTTACACTACCCAGTTGTGTACTTTACCCTACCCAGTTGTGTCATTACACCACCCAGTTGTGTACTTTACCCCACCCAGTTGTGTCTTTACACCACCCAGTTGTGTACTTTACCCCACGCAGTTGTGTCTTTACACCACCCAGTTGTGTACTTTACCCTACCCAGTTGTGTAAATGCACCCAGCTTGACCCCCCTTTTTTTTACACGCGGACGCTTAAAAGTCTATAGCTACATCCGCGATCGGTGCTTACATAATACGCGATTGATTATTATATTTATTAATATTATAGGCATCTATTGCTATTTGCCACTATTCATGTTCCTTTTCCTCCACCACGGCCTAAACCTCAAAAACCATACTCCCAACCCAACCAACCATGTAGAAATACAAACCTCCGAACCTGTAACGCCTAATGATACCGCCGGTAAAATAGATATGGATCTAATTTGAAAAAGAAAAATGCGTAAACCTAATGGAAGACACTGCTTGTTAGCTGTCGGATTCTGATATTCGCAGTCACGCGCATTTGAATGGGGTGTTACGATTTGTAAATTTTCCAATGTCGCCCCACTAGCTCTGAGTGCTTCATCCGGATAGCTGTAATGTTAATATATGCTGTGGATATTAATAGTCCCATTCACTCAAGGTGCGAAGTTCCCTTTTCTTCGCTTTATGTCCATTCTGGCAGCCGTGTAGTGGTTAGTTGCTTCCTTCTCGGCCTTTTCATCCAGGGATTGGGCGGCCTTCATACTCCTTTTAATCTCCCTCCCGCTTGAACTTCTAGCGACGTTCGCACTGGATTGTGTATTGATTTTAGAGGCCATTCCTTTGTCCTGGATAGGGGGTTTCTTACTCCTGGAACGAGCCGGGGCCAAAGACAGCTGCTCATCATGCCGGATTTGAGATTCCGGTAACTGGGATTCCGGTAACTGGGAAACCCTGGCCTGCGATTTACCAACCGCCGATTTCTTCGTCACCTTTTTAGGTTTGGGTGCAACGGCGACCGGTATACGCGGAATTTCCTATACCCAGACGGGCCACACCAGGTTAGTTTAGTAATAATCATTGCTATACATGACTGGAATCTTTACACTGCGCCTGTTTTCCTCCAAGAGAACTGGATCAACGTAACCCGTACCGCAGACCCCCTCGCCATCCTATGAATTAATGTCAGCATCTCCCCCGTGAATAAATCGAAATACGTACCGAGTCTGGCGCGTCCTCATCAAGATATGATTCCCCAACCACTTTCACCTCTGCTCCAGCCTCTCCACATGTCGCTACAAGCTTTTTCCAAGCCTCTTCGTATCCTACGCTCAACCATTTCCCACCGGTTTTCGGACGATATTGTAGAAACCTATCATCAGGTATTACAATGCGCTGGGCAACAAGTCGTTCGAACTCATTATAAGACATGTTTGTTGCAACATACACCGGAGGATGCCCGGCGATATGGATAGGGATGTAAGTTGGCGGGGGTATCTGTGTTTCTGGCACTGAGTGGATGGGGGGATAAGGGATTTGGCTGTGGAACACGCTTCTGTGAACCACAGGCTCCAAATTCGCACATAACTGAGAGTCCCCGGGTTGGGAGTTGTATCGTATGGCCGCCATATTAGGCCCTTTATATGCGAGGGGGGAAACCACCGATGAAGCCGGACTATTGGGGTCTGTCGGTGGTATAGGAATGGGAAACTTGTTAGTATACTGAGCAATTGGGGTAGGCGGGGGATTGCTCTGTTCGGTAATACCTCGGGGGTGCATAGGGGTGGAGGGATAACTCCTGTTTCCATTGAGAAGGGGAGGGAGCATTGGTGCGGCGTCATCATCATCACCATCCTCCTCCTCCTCCTCCTCCTCCTCCTCATCTCCATCCTCTTCTTCCTCCTCCTCCTCCTCCTCCTCCTCGCCCTCTTGTTCCTCCACCGGTGGCTCCTTGGCTTTTCCTGCCCTCGCGGCCCGATGGGCGGCAACTAACTTAAACTTTGATGTACTCACAACTGGTGTTGATACATTACCTATATCACCCGTTCCATTCGCAGCCGCAAGCAAAGCCTCTTTTTCTAACCGAAGTCGCTCTAACCGAAGTCGCTCTAACCGAAGTCGCTCCGCTTTCTTATCGTTGCGCACTTTATCAAGACAAATGGCATGTAATAAATCCCGGGTTAGTTCTTGAGTCCACCACTGGCCATACCTTCGTTGCATCTCCGGCGTAACATTCCGAATGAGTCTAAACATGTCAGTGTCCGAATATGTAGAGAATGGCTTGTCTAGAACTATTTCGCGTCGCAAGCAAATCATCCGCAAATACTCCCGACGCTCCCGCACCAACCGGTTAACATTATTCTTGTCCGAGGCAGTCAACTTCATACGTGAAGCTAAATTCTTCCTGTCACTATACGCCGATTTCTTCTTTTCTCCCGCGGTGGAGGACGACTGAAGTTGGACAGTTTCATCGCTTTCATCCCGCGGCTGCTGCTGCTCGACCTGCGTGTTTTTTTTTTTTTGTCTTGGACGTTGAGGGGTTTCTTGGTCGATATCATCCCCCGAAGACATGTCGATGTGTCCATTGCGATCTCTTGAACTTGATGGGTCCTGCGGCACACGGTTGTGCTTCGCGGATCTGTTGCCGGTCGTGGATGGTGGCGAGGAGAGAGGCTGAGATTGGCTATGGGAAACGTCCTGGGTGTTACTGACGGGGGTTTTTTTTTTGGAAACTGGATGTTAATTTATTAGGGAAGGAAAAAGAAAACCCGTCTATTCATATCACTTACCTCTATTGGCGGTTCCTGCGCTGATAGCGGTACTATCGGTGGCAGGCGGAGCCTCTTGATTCTTCGACATCCATATAGCAGTGAGCAACTTGACTTGTTCCTGCATAAACTGCTGAAATGCAGGGTTCTCCGCGAAGTTGTCCATTTGCGGTGATGGTGCGCGAACGAGGATGCAATGGCGGAGATCTGGAAGTTTAATTGTGGGGCGTTAATTGTTGATGGGGATAAGGTTGATGAGGTAGAGAAAAGGGGGGGTGACGTTGAAAATTCGGTGAGGTAGCGCGTTGCCATAACCAAGCTAAACCGGATATGGTAGGTACTAAGCTATATAGAGTTAGTAATGGGGCGCAGAGATATAAGAATTGCCTTAAAATAAACAAGTGAAACGCGAAACGATATATTCTCGGCCCTCGTTTATCATCAATCCAATAAGATCAACGATTTGGTCAACCTGAATCACCTCTTTTCTCCCAAGCCCTGTTTTTAACAAGAGCCTATCTTCAAGCTCTACATTAAATGTTTGGATATAGGCAAAGTTGCGGGAAGCGTGCTCCCTTTCGTCGTCGCCCACGTGTACACGTGGTTCATATTGACGCAGCAGGTTCATGTCTTCATCGGCGACAGAAAAGAAAAATATAACCTCCCCATATCCGCTGTATCTCATGCCTACGTCTGTCTCGAACTCATAACGAATCATGGAAGAACTCCTTGTTGAATTAGTTCTCCTCATGTGTGTCGAAACAATAGTGAACGTTTTTTTGGCTAGACCACGAACTCCAGAAGAGAAGGAAGCCCAACGAACGCAATTCTTGGGTGTTGAATCCAACGGAACAACGTTATTGAATCTATTTGACAAAAATGTCTGGAGGGCACGTCGATGCCATGCGCCCAAAGCTCCTTGCTTTTTTGGTAAACCCATAGTTCCAGAAGATTTATTCATTGTAAGCAATGATTTCGAAGGAATATCTTTGTGTGCTAATCTTCGACCGAACAGTCGGTGAAGAAGTACAGCTCCATCATCGTCCTCTATTTCATCGTTGAGATCGCCGTCAGGATGAGCAGGAATCACGTAAGGTAGGTGGTTGCGCTGCTCTTGAAGAACAATTGTGATACCCATGTTGCGGTTCGCCGAAACCCTGGACTTCGCCGACGCCGCAATGATGCCGCATACCCGCTCCATTGGCCATTGTGAATACACATACATTGGGCCAGCCCATCGGATAGCTTGTGCGACGTGCAAAACCTGGTGGATGACAGGAAGACAGGAGGAAAGCTTATCCCACAACCGACAATAATAACGACGTTCATAATAAATGACAAACCTCTTCAAGCGCTCCTCAACCACAAGTATCTCGGCTTCTGTGATGGTGTAGTTGCAGGCCAGATGTAAAGCGTCGATTAGGTTCGCAAACTCTGTATAATCCTCTTCTGGTAATCTGTTTTTCATATAGATAGGGGCCATTAATAGGGAAAAGTTTCTCCATTCCGCCGCTTTGAGATGTTGACAGTGTTCTGCGAAGTCACGTATAGGCTCCCCAAAAGAAGACGGGAAAGTGATGCTGCTTTTAGCCATGTCCTTACCTATCTGTAGCCATTGATCTGGGGGAATATTATATTCGTCATTTGTTTTGACGAACTTTTTACCATCCGTGTTTGTTTTTGCGGGAGTTGTCTTGCATCTGCGCGAATTCGAAGGTAAGCGCTGGCTGGGTTGATTGTCTGGTCCGTCGTTGGTATCGATATCGTCCGCGATTAGTGACTCTACGGTCTCCACCTGTGCAGAAGTTGTAAATTTTCCCCGCCAATGTCGAACCAGGTCTGGTATTACGTTCTCCCACCATAGATGCATGGCATCTGGGGGGAAACTCCGAGGAATATCGATCGTCGAAAGCTCTGATAAAGAGCATGGGCCTTTTATTCCGTACTTTTTTGCTGCATGGTCGTCACCAGTTTCTATTACGTGGTCCGCAATCCTGCGACACTGTTCATCGTTACGCATCGGTAAATCAGAAGGATCCCACGAGCGCCAAGTGGACGTGACTTCGGGCTTTATACCCGGTGGGGGGTTGGTTGGAGGGTTTAGTGGACAGTAGACACCTCTATTGTGAACTCCGTGGATGTAGCAATAAGGGCAGTAACTAGTTCCTCTATTGCCTATATATATTATAGGGTAATGGGCCGGGGGTGTTAGCTAAAATAGAAAAATTCGAGTTGTAGTTTTGCGGGGATTCTAGAAAATTAAAGCACACCTTTGAAGTTCATTAATTTTTCTCGACCAGGCATGTCAGCACCGACAATGCAGACGTGAGCTCTAAGAGTAAAGCGTGTCTGCCGAGCGCTATTCCATACATTAGGAACCCCAGCTTCGAGCTCCTTCAACTCTTCAATAAGAGGAAACAGAAAAGAGTCGAGGTCCTTGGGATTGTTCGGGCCTGGGATAAAACCCACCATTAACATGTGTCGTTTTTTGAACCTCTCGACTGGCGGTAGGTTTAAGTTTAACTAACTCATTTGAGTATTTAGCAACGAAGAAACTCAACTTTGAGGCAGAACACGTTAACATTGTTACTCACCAATAGGATTGGCCAAATGCTGAAGTTTCTTCTACTCTTAAAGACACGCACTCCATCTGTGCTTAATAAGAACGCAATATCGGTGTCATTTGGAAAGAATTCCTTTTTCTCTTCGAATAAATCACTTGACCAAAAGTCTGTTCGAACTCGTCTTGCGCGTTGCTGCTCTGCGCCGTAACGATATGCCACCATCAAGGCAGCCATACTTGGGTTCGAGTATAAAAGCTTCAGTCTATGTTTGATTGGGATATACCCATGGGTCGCGTAGGGCTTGCGCGCTTGTGCAGCTGAAGGATCATCGTCGGGGTTCTTGCTTGGCTTCCATCGAGGGTGCTCGCAGGTAAGACACCGATCTAGGTCGGGATACATTGCATAAGACATGTGGCTTAACGGACAACAGTCATACAACACTTCTTTGATCCCTGTCATTTTCTGTATCCTGGCCCGCACTGTACGGTAGTCAAGAGGCTTCTCTTCCGGCGGTAGAACTGCTGAAAAAAGCTCAGATGTATCTCGTGCTGCCTCTCTTGCTATCTTGTGTTTCAGAGCAATGTCGTGTATCGAAAAGGACAGCATCTCCTGCTTCGTGGGTAGTCGACTAATCGGATCCTGGAAATCAAAGAACTCTTCATCGTGCTCACTGATGACAGACAAATCAACGTCCTCTTGAGTTCCTAGTTCCTCCCCCGAATCGGAATCTGAGCTAAACTCGTCCAAATCACCAGCAGGTTCGTCGGAATAATCGGCAATCCCACGATTCATCTGACCTATAGGCCCTGATGTATCACTCCCACCAAATGACTCTAATGAATCAATGTCATCGTCAGCTTCAGAACCCAACTCTGAATAGACGTCTTCGGGGTCCCAATGGTTCTGGAAGGGTGAGTCTCCCGGGGAAACAGTGGAGTGAGGTAGGTCTCTTAAGTCGGTAAATGTTGTAGAGGGGTTCGGGGGTTCCTGTGGCTCCGAATGTGACATATATAAAGAAACCTCCTCATCATCCGCTTCGGGGCTTGAATTGTCACGGGTATGTTCTGCGTCGGAGCCAGAAGCGGAGTCAAAACTAGTTTGACCAGGCGGAGAAGGATGGTCCTCGTCGTCTACACCGGAACCAGAGGCAGAGGAGGCAGTTTGATCAGGCGGAGAAGGATGGTCCTCGTCGTCTACGTCGGAACCAGAGGCGGAGTCAAGACTAGTTTGACGAGGCGGAGAAGGATGGTCCTCGTCGTCTACGTCGGAACCAGAGGCGGAGGAGAAGGCAGTTTGGCCAGGTGGGGAAGGGGGGTCTTCTTGTCCTCGGTGCTCATGAGGACGTCGAGCTCGAGATCTCAATGCTGCCCGTTGATTATCTCGTCGAAGTAAGGCTGAATGCCGCTCCCATTCGCGCTGGGTTCTGACCGTGTGGGTCGCCCCCCCATACATAGAGCATGTACACTCTCGTCTCATGATGTCGGATTTTGACGGAAATGATATGGTTTTGCAATTGGTGGGTTGGAGGTTGATGTTCGAGATATTCTAAAATATTTCGCGTTGTAGACGTCGTCGTCGACGACGTCTAGTCTAGTACTAGCTCAGGGTCGAATATCCGGGTGATTTTTGGTGCTGTAGCTGGTGCAGGGCGCATGCAGCTTGACCCTGCAGGAGGCTCTTATCAACCCTAACCCACCAAACTTAGACGCGACTAAGTGCTCTCAGCTACAACTCTCAACCACCCACGGACGTACCCCCACCACCACATACAAGAATTAATTATCATCAACTACAGCAGCACAATCATCAAAAATGCCATCCATCAACGAGTCTGTTAAGAATCCCTCCGAAGCTGCCAACGAACTAGCCGATCGTGGGTCTGTTCGAATCGTCTGTACGTGCAAGGCAGCTAACTATAATATATCCGGATCCATCATGATCAGATCTAGATCAATCAACATTATAATTATGTAACTAACAATTATCATCAGATATCGATCAAAGCCTCTATCCCGGACTCGCTCCCCGTATCAACGAAACGTATGGAATCGTAAGGGACTGGTCTGCTCAAACTGTCCCAGAGATTGGAGCTCAGTTGCGCATACGTCACGGCGAACGTGTGTTCTTGAGTGGCTGGGTGAAGAAAAAGGACAATTCCATCATCTTGAAGCACCTGGAAAACAACAGACACGTCCGCGGCACCGTTACTGACCTGGAACCATTCTGGTGGCAAAATGTTCAGTGCTACTGGGGCAATATGGATTGGTGGGTGATCGCTGAGAAGGTGCCTGCCAATACTACTACTGGCGGTAGTACTTCGGGCACTGGTGAAGGGCAGATCAATTAAATAAAACTACGACTGTACGGCATGTGACAAGAAAAACGTGTGTGAATGATACCCGTACTAATACTGATTAAATACATGTATAACTAAAGGGAAGAATGAATGGAAGAATGGCTGAATAGTGCTTCAAAATATTGCCGCGTCATAATTAATATTAATATTCATGATAAATATATATAATAAATTTAAATGTTGTAATTATATAATTATAAGCGCGAGCTCGAGTGCGCCTGCAGAGCTAGAAAGAGTGTTAGTGGGGTAGATCATGGTGTAATTACACAATGCGCTAAACGTGGTGTGATTACACAACGTTGTGTAATCACACCACGAGCAAGAGTTTTTGTATGGTGTGATTACACAACGTTGTGTAATCACACCACGAGCAAGAGTTTTTGTATGGTGTGATTACACAACGTAGTGTAATCACACCACGAGCAAGAATTTTTGTGTGGTGTAATTACACACCTTACACAACCCAGTGGTGTAATTACACTATGAAAAATATCCCGGCGAAAAAATTGTTTAACTACACAACATGAGAGTGTAACTACACCACCCGGTTGTTTGACTTACACCACACCCGTGTGCTCGCTTGTACCACAGGGACTCTGTGTAACAGTAGTAAGACTTGGATATCGTCGCTGGGTCTCTCGGTGTGTGATTTCGAGTTTTTGTTTGGGGTTTATTTTGGCACGGTGATGGTGGGGAGGGGATAGGTGGGTGCGGTGTGATTTTATCCTTGCTCACCTCTCAGCTGCTCGGGAGTTATGGGATTGTAGACGAGTTGGGGAGTGATACATACACGTAGTGGAAGTAAATTATAAATTATCTCACTCTCCTTTTTTGTCTAGTCTTTTACGCCTCATACGCGCCGGCCTTTACCATCATGATATACTAGCGCAATGGATACAGTTTTGATGCGCTGGCTTCTGATAATCCTACGTGCAGATTGCCAGCCCTTCTGCCAGCTGCCCCGCGCAACATATGCTATCATAAATCGAGCTTTAACGTACATAGTGTTATCTTTACAGTCTTTGCTATCTGTTGTTAATGTTGCGTCAAGACACCGAGTTTAGTCCTGTTGATGATATGTATTTGTTATGACTTTGTGGGATATAAAAGGAGCCCGGTACTTCTTGTCTCATACCTCTTGAGTTTGTTCATGGAATTGGATTCTCTTCTGTCTCTTCTTAATCCGTGACCAGGTAACACATACCAGGAGCTCGAGCAAGGCGGCCCGTTAATTAAGGTAATCGAGCTTCTGATGGAATTTTAGCACATACACATCAACTGGAATACATACATAGACCTAGCCCAGCACCAATGCAGGTACCTACAGCGACGTCTACTACTCCGCGTAGACGTTTACGCTGTATATGTGCATCTATTAGTTGCCTCACTGCGCGCATGATATTTGCCAAGGATTGTAAATTATCCGCACCAAGTGAACGACATCATCTTTCGACACTTCCTTCCCTGAAACGACGACCTCATGTTGCGAATTGAGGATATTCACGATACCCAAACGTGCCAAGAAGCTATTAAATTTCGAATTTTTCAAAGCGCCTTTTCACGATATAAATACCACCAATGTCCCCATCACTACGTCACCAACACATAAAACCCACCAATACCAACCTTCTTAATTCTCCTTTCAAACTTTTGACAAAACCAACCCATTGACACACTATCATGTCTATCCCCAACGCTCCACCTGCAATCATTCAACCTGCGCCGGTTCATCCTGCCGCTGCTAATCCCGCTGCTACCCACCCCGCTACGCCCCAGCCAGTCGCCGCCCACTACGCCGCCGCTCAGTGCAACGTGGCCCACCATCTCGCTACTCACCCCCCGCTGTCCCCGGCCGCACTACCCCCGCCGACCACTGCCCCCTCATCATGACCGCCGCCGCCTACCGCACCCTCCTTACCTCCGCGTACACAACCAAGCTCGTCCAGTACGCTGCCTCCACCGCAAAGTGCAATGAAGGCCTCGCCTGTGCGCAGAGAACCCTTGTCGGGCTGGGTTACAACTGAAGGAGGGAGCGCCCCGGGGGGGGGCGTCAATATGTCGCAGGGTATCATCGATGAGGTTAATATTATGTAGCGTGAGCAGTTTTACCTCAAGAGGGATAAGCTGATGGTGAAGCTGTGGAAGAAGGAGTTGGCGGGAGTGGAGGCGAGGGTCGAGAGAGAGTTTAAGCGTCGGGCTGCGGCGGCAGAGGGGCAGCCGGGGAGGGCCTAGCCCTGGTGACGTGAATTGAGGTATGTTATGTGTTGTGTGCTGTGCTGTCCTGACGTGTATAATTGTCAACTTATTAACTTGGGTTTTCGGGTGATTAGTGACGAAAAGATATGGCCTCACTCGATACGAATAAAAACATCTCGCCGTCGTGTTTAAAGGTTTCTTCAGCAATGAAAGTGGGGGGAAATAGGAAATTGTCAAGTAGCTGGGTTGGAGGTTATAGATAGGAAGTAAAGATTAAAGATCACTTTGTCTAGACCAATTGTGTTTCCAACGGTTGTATTTATTTTCAACAAAACTCAATTGTAAGCAATAAAACAGACCAATAACTCATGATACCAGGGGGAAGAAGAAAACTCAACGACATCATCCTTCCCGCCCTGGCACAACGAAATCATGTTGTGAATTGAGGGTATTCACAAGAGCCAAGATATGCAAACACGCCAAGAAGTGAATCTTCAAAGGGCTTGTTTTCTATATAAATACCATTAATCCACCACCACTACATCACCAACACACCAAACCCACCAAGATAAACCTCTTTCTCTTTGCAAACTTGAAATAACGAACTTACTCACCGCCACCCGTCTACCGCGCCCAACGCCCCTCCGCAACACTCCAGCCCACCATGGCTCAGCCTGTTTCTGCCCTTCTCCGGTTTGCCCAGCGCAACGCGGTGCACCGTCTCGCCGCGCACTTCCACAGCATCCACTACCTCCCCAACATGTACCCCTCCACTTACACCGCCGCCCTTGCCTCGATGTACACAACCACAATCACCAAATCCATGGCCTCCACCACCCGTTACAAGGAAGCACTTGCGCGCGCGCAGGGCTCCCTTGTCGAGCTCGGCTATAACTGGGAGGAGGAGAGCCTCGAGGAGGGAGTCCGAATGTCGCAGGATATCGTTAACAGGATTGGTGATATGTGCGATGCGGAGTACTGCATCAAGAAGAATAAGATAATCTTGAAGTTGTGGAAGAGGGAGTTTGCGGGCGCGGGGGAGGAGCTCAAGATGGAAATGGGCCGTCAGACTGCGGCGGCGGTGGCGGAAGGCGGAGAGGGCTTAACTCTAGATCTGCTGGGGGTAAAGTCAGGTATGCTATGTGTTCTGTGCTGTCCTGACGTCTATATTTGTAAATTTATTAACTGGGTTCTGCAGATGATGAGTGACGACCAGATATGCCTGAGTCGACATGAATAAAAACATCTCGCCGTAGTGTTTAAAGGTTTTCCCAGCAGTGAAAGTGGGGGGAAATAGGAAATTGTCAAGTAGCTAGCGTGGAGGTTCTAGATAGAAAGTAAAAAATACAAAGTCGCCTTGTCTAGAACAATCGTGTTTCGAACGGTTTTCATTTTCAACCAATACTAAGGTTAAAGCAATAAAACAGACATATAACTGCGGTGATTCCAACGGTTGAAACCGGTTGTATTTGGAGGCCATACCTTACCGAACTGAACTTAATTATATCTCCAACTTAACTGAACTGAACTGAGCTGAATATTGGTTTTCGAAACTAGTTTTAGAACCAGAACCGTTCTTTGTTTGGTTTGAAGATTCATAAACTAAAATGTGTTTTCAGAGTCCGTTGCTTTGTTTACTAGGTGCATTTGAGACCGCCCAAAACCGGTCAAGGTCAAGAAATGTGTCATCTATGTGACGGGTACCTACATTTCGACCAGCTTTTGATTGTGATCATCCAAACAAAATTAGCTCAAAGACAAAAACTAAGCCAGAATGTTAACTAAACCGGTTTGTTTCGTAGAGCGGGTGACCGTTGGAAACCCTCCATACCGGGAGGTCGAACACCTCAACGACATGATCCTTCGAGACTTTCCTGCCCTGACACAACGACACCACAATGCGAATTGAGTGTATTCAGACAGCCAAGGTACGCAAACGCGCCAAGAAGTGATCCTGTTTCGAAATGTGAAAGCCACTTTTTTCGATATAAATACCGCTAAACTCTCCCACCTCCTTGTAACCAACACACAAAACCCACCAAGGCAAACCGTCTTTCCTGTTGCAAGGTTTACACAAACAAAACCCACCAACTCCCACCATGTCGACCCATCGATACGCCCACATTGCAATCATCGAACCTGCCGCAACTGATGCTCCCGTTACCCACCTACCTGCCACAGCGCCTGTTACGGCCCACCTCGCCGCCGGCGCTGTCAACGCCGCGCAGGTCATTGCCATGCCTTCCCCTACCGCCCTCGGCCGCGCCACCCCCTCCGACGCCCCCACCCTCCTCATGACCCCCTCCGGCTACGCTACCTTCCTCACCTCCTTGTATAGTTGCAATCTAACCGCCCTCGCTAGCACCACCGCCTTGATGAAGTTCAGACTTGAGCGCTCCCAGCGTAAGCTAGTCGGGCTCAGATATAACTAGAGGACGGAGAGCCTCGGGGAGGGATTCGAGCTAACGGGGGCTATTATCGACGAGATTGGTAGTATGCTTGGAATTAAGTATTGGTTGGGGTGATGGGTAAGTTGTGGAGAAGGGAGCTTGCCCGTGTGCCCGAGGATGTGAAGAGGGACATTAGGGAAGCGCGTGAGGATCGGGTGGGGAGGGCTTAGGGGTGGCGGGAGTGAAGGTGGGCTGTCCTGTGCTATGCTATCCTAATACTCAGTTTTGTCAATTTACTAACCTAGCTTTGGCGATGGTCAGTGACGACAGATATGCCTCAGTCGACAAGAAAGAAAAGATCTCGTCGTCGTGTTCATAGGTTTCCTCTGCAGTGAAAGTGGGAGGAAATGGCGGACGGCCAATTATCTACCTAGCTTTGGAGGTTCTAGATACAAGCTAAACAATAAAGATTATTTTGCAATTGTCTAGATTCACAATTTCAAACAGTTGTAACGGTTTTTTATTTTCAACAAAATTGGGAAAGTTGATCAACCGTGTGAATAAGATCCGGTTTATATTGCACAACGTTTCTGACGTCATTACACTAGTCTAACACAGGGTTCTCAATGATACGAATCGGTGTGATTTTCGTGCCATACTGCACCGCCTGCGATGTGTTCAGATCATGATCGAACTGCATAATATTTGGCGAACTTCTTATTGTACTAACTGTGGTATATCACATTTGAAACACGTGATGGATCATGATGCGAAAATAGTTTTTTTTCTTCTATTTTTTGGTTGAATTTATTAATACGAAAATTGGACGGAAGGTTATATTCCAGCAAGGAAAGGTGCATAGGCTGTTGATTTGTGCGCCAGGACTCTATCATGATATTATCGATAGAGGAAGGATCCCATATCGTACTCACTATTATCAAAGATGATCATATCGTATTTTACCCACTGTACCGCCAGATAATTTTATCGGTACATATCACCGCACCGCATTATCGTTGAGAACCCTGGTCTCACAGAACTATACACCAAGAGTGATTGGGGTGAGTATCTACTCTTGATACAGTGTTCGTACTTTGTATGAGGTGTTCCTACTGCTCCGGCATTATGGGATCAGGGGACTGTGGAGAAGCTTGGCATCAGGCGCGGGAATCGGAGTCGATTCATTGTAAGTTACATACCTGATTGTTCTGTGTTCATTTCGTTACCTCCAGTAGATATGCTTTATTATCATTATGTGTACTTCTTATCCAGCGCAGCTACATAAATCTTACAGTTCCAATGCATACACGACTCCAGATATTCCCACATCCAGAGTATATGCCATTCTGCCACCTGTCATGTGCATGTGTGACGTATCGGCTCATAAACTCGACCATATATAAAGTACGTACGCACTCTGGTTTTTACAGTCTTTGCTACCTGTTATCAGTACGGTGAAAGCCGACAAGCACTTTTGTTTGTCTTGATGATACGTGGTTGTCACCATTTTTTGTGGGTTGTAAAAGAGTTTCTACTACATTTTCCTACTTGTCTTGTTACGTCTTGATGTTATTGAATCATGTGCTTTGATTCTACTCCAGTACATCCAGACCTACGGCCTGGCCAATAGAAGATTGTCCCTGATGTTCACCAACGTACGCGCAATGAAACGACAGTGAGACCTGGTTTTCTGAATGCAGACAACCTTATCCTTTTTTTGTATTCCCTACTTTTTAACCTAGCACTTAAGAAGCTGGGTAGTTCCTCAAACCTTCACGACAAGAAGAATATGGTGAGATCTGTTGAGTCGTGTTTGCGGTGTATTCGCTACCACCCCTAGTCATCTGTAACACTCGGTTAGAAAATTGAGAGCAAACGCTTGGACAGCTCTATACACGTACGTACAGCACAGGGGAAGCACACCTCAACCCACGCAAACCCCACCCCACCATACCTAATCCCCCCCACATCCCCCGCCAACTCCCTCCTCAACTTCCTCAGCATCAAGGTATAACTCGGCAACTGATACCTATCGTGAACAATTCCGCGTGATTCGGGTTGTGAAGATGCATGGGAGGTAGGCAGTGTAGGCGGTGGGGGGGGGGGGGGGAGGTGAGCGGCAGGCATGGTGGAGGTAACTAGCGTCGCCAACAGCTTGGAGGTCGGGGGGCTTTGAGAGTGGTTGTGGGAGTAAGGCTTATCACCTGGTGGTGTGGTTGTGAGGGGGAGGTTAGTGGGTGTTTGTATCGCGCTTGCTGTGGACACTTGGCCGATTGTTGGTGTGGGTGCGTATCTTGGCTCTGGTGAATCCACTTGATTCGCAATATAAAACTACCTAGGTTTTTGTAATCTTGTAATGAAGGCCGGCTGAGACGTGGACAAGAGCACGTATAATATTGCCCCACGGGGTCAACAATAATAGAAAATTGAAGTAGGAACGCTAAACTACACACTGATAACAACGAGCCTGGAGGGATTGTTAAATATTACTGCCTTGGTTTCCTTGCGCCGTTGGGTTGTAAACCACGATGCCGCCCGTACCTCTAGCTAGCTCTATTGTGACCTACATGCCTATTATATATCACCGCCCGAGTCGTATCACGACCTGTTGGTGAGCTACTCTTTCTTGACCTAGGCCAACGTAGGCTCTGTACACCCCAAAACCGCAACAGAGCTTATAACATTTGTCATCCTTGAATGGTTTTATACTCCATCCCTCCAAGAGACTGATCCGACAGCACGATGTACCCCTAATAAATATTACCATTAAATTAATAAACGTGTCTAGACACATCCCATCGGTTCCGTGGCTAAAACCACGTCAACCATATCTATCTCGCTCTCCAAGGCGTATAAAAACTACGTTACGTGAGCGCTATTACCATCACGCCTATACCGTTGCATCAAAGCAGCCTAGCGTAGACATTGATTATCACTCGATTCGCGAGTGATCGGCTGTGGCGGAGTGATAGGTGGTGATGGGCCACTACACTACAGTTCGTTGTTTTAGACTATTTGTTTTGATTGGAGCAGGTGTGAACAGAGACATACTGTATGTGGTGGGGGTTGAAGGAGGTGTTGTTTCTTCTGGTTGTGTGAACGCTTCGAAGTGAATTGTGGGGGTGATAGGGGATAACGTTCTGAGTGGATGTTTTATGTTTAAGCCTGAGTTGTGGGATTCATGTATGCAAAAACGTAGATGAAAAAAGTTCTAAGCAGGGTGTCTCTCCTCCCTTCAATCCTATTTGAGGACGGGGTTGAAGACACAACAAAACCCCTCCCAAAGTGTTTCTGTTTCCGTACATCGGTGACAGCAAAACGCCCGGAGTTGCCAAATTAAAAGAGTTCTGTTGGCCAGGTTCATGGTCCTTTATTTAAACGAAAAACACTATTTCTTCTTCTGCCACCACGGGTTGAATCCTTTCACGTCGGGACGTGTCCTCCGCGTTCGAAATTCAAAACGCCGAGATTGACCACCGTCACCAACCCCACTTCACCAACACTTCTTCCCACCAACCTCATCACCCCCACTAATCTCTACAACGACACATCTGAATTCTCTCTACCAAAGGTTTCATCACAGATAACAAGTACTTATAAAACCTATCGGCGATCTAGAAATATCTTGGTAACTTTACCTTCCCAATCTCTTATATTTATAACCACTAATAAAAACCCAGTTACCCAAAACAACCGCTGTTACACACACACACACTCTACATGAAGCGCCACCCCCCCTCTCCCCTGGACCCCCCTCGGCGGTCCACCCGCATCAAACGCCCGCCCCCCCCTGTCCTCATCTCTGTCGCCGTCCCCGCGCCTCCCCGGCCCCCTCCCATCCCACGCGTTATCATAACCAACGACCCCACTGCCCTCACCTCTACCACCCCCAACACCCTCGACCCAAACGCCCCTCTCTCCACCACCGTCCTAGCCACCCAAATCTACTACCTCCCCGCCACCGAAAAGTCCGACCTCTACACGTTCTTCCGCGCCGACTACGCACGCACGGGCTACCGCCCCACGAACCAGCAGCTCCGCGCATGGTTCGCATACACGCACGGTGGGCGGCAGTTACCGCTCGAGGTGATTGCAGCGGTGATAGGCGGCGGTGAGGTTGTAGGCAGGAGTGCGAATACAAAGGTGGGGTATAATATGGCGGCGAGGATTAGGGACTGGGCGTTGGCGAGGAAAGGGGCGACCGGGGCGGTGCCAGGAGTCGCGGAGTGTATGGTGTGGATGCAGAGGGTGGGGATGGAGATGAGGGGGGATGTGAATGTGGGGGAGGTGCTGGGGGGATGGTGGATGAGGAGGAGGGGGGGATGGGGGTGGGGAGGGGTGGGAGGTGCTGGATGGGTTGAACTTGAATGGGGGGGTGGATGGTGGGAAGATGAGGAAGGAGAGGACGAGGAGGAGGTGGGAGGAGATTGTGGCGAGGGAGGAGGTTTATGAGGAGGTCGAGTGGAGGAGTTGTTTGACAATCCCTGCGGCCAAGTGTGCGAGACATGAGGCGAAGATGAAGGTCCTGGGATTGGAGAATACGACAGGTGTGACGGGCGGATGGACAGTTAGTGAGAAAGGCGAGAGCTGGGATGAGAGTGAGGAGACCACTGAATCCAGCGAAGCCAACACCGAAGCGAATGGTGGTGGGGAGAGCTGTGCAGAGAGCGAACAAATCCGTTCCTCAAGAAGGAACACACGCTTCTCGGCCAAGCAGACCACCGCCCCAAGTGAGCACAGTCCTGCCTCTACCCCACCTGGCACACCCAGCAGCAGCACAAGAACCAGATCTAACACCCCCTCCAGCCCCGCAAGAAAGCCCATCAGCGTCAACGCAGAGCTGAAACGCAAACACACGCCCACCCCACGCCCCGGATCCACGACTTCGGGATTTCGCACCCCAAACCCTCTTAGGAGGGCCACCACAAGATCACAATCGGAAGGCAAGCAACACGCTAACACAACCGGTTGGACAGCAAAGTCCAAGCGTCTAGAACCAACTGGGAGATATAATATGCGGAGTAGGCGCTCGACAACATTTGAGACTAAGTCCGATGATGAGAGTGGTGATGAGGATTCGGAGGGTGATGCGGATAATGAGGAAGAGAGTGAGAGTGAGAGTGAAGAAGAGGAAAAGGAGGAGAAAAAGGAAAAGAAAGTGAAGGTACAGGGTGAACATGGGGGATCGGAGGATTGGATGGAGGATACGATAGTCTGTGTATTCCGGGATGCGGGGTCTAGTGTGGTTGCTACTGGTGGTGGTGATGGAGGCGGTGGTAGAGATAGAGGTAGGCGGGTGGTGAAGGATGATACCTCCTCATATTCCGACGATGCTTCTGAAGATAAGGACGCCACCTGTGAAGACGGGGACGAAGAAATGGTGGACCATAAACCTATCTCCACACCGGAAAAAAAACAAGATGTCGATCATGACATCACCATGGGCGAAGACCCCAACCCACTCGCTGAACCTACACTCTCAGATGAAGATCATGACATCCCCACACATGGTGTGCTCGTTACTAGCGTTGAGAGAATCCATGAGATTGTAGATGCGGCGTCGAACCAGCTTTTGCAGGAGCTTTTGAGGGTTAGTAGGGTGGGGGGAAGCAGTAATACCAGCGAAGCTACGACGGCTATATCAAGCCCGCTCTCTCAGCCTGTTGGTAGAGGGGAAAGTCCTGTCGTTGTTACTCCGGAGAGTGTCGGTACTGTTGAAGGTTATGGAGGTAGTGCGGTGGAGTCGAGCACGCTTTCGGAGTTTTCTACGATCACGGAGAGTCCAACTCCTACATCACTCCGTACTACTCTTACTCCTATTCTTACTACTACCAGTAATTTAAGCCCAACGCGTCGATCAAGCAAAGGAAACGGTACACAAAGCAACACACCGCAACCTTTAGAGGCCCAGTCTCTCGTCGTCGAAAAGGAGTGCAGTTCTACGGTGCTAGATGGCGAGGGTGATATACCCATCCTAGATTCTCAGGTTGAGTATAGTACCCCGGGGCGGTGGGGTCCGGATGAGAGAGTGGTGCCGCACTCGGAGGGGGATACGTCGGATGTTGAGATGGATATGGATCTTGACACAGACTTGGATGATGAGGTTCTCCTTGCTCATGGGTCGCCATCAATTGCTGCAGATGCCATGCCCGATACTACCTTGCCCCGTGGTCTCACACCAGCCATCCCACCGCACAGTATTGCGCAGAATGTTAGTCACCGCCTTCGTTCTCCTCCTGTTTCTATTTCTGTTGTAGACAGGCAAAACGAACCAGTATACCAGATACTACGCCAGCAGCAGAGTCTACAAGAGGAGGCACAGGAAATGGAGAGGCAGAGGGAGGTACAGGAAAGACAGAGGCAGACGGAGATGCAGAGGATGAGTGAGGAGCCGAGACGTAAACCGGTGGAGAATAGAGCCATCGATGAGAGGGTTGGTGTGGTGGAGGGCGAAATAATGAGGGAGAGTCAGGCTGCATTGATGATTGCACACTATGGGGTCGACCACACACCTGGTAGGCACTTCAGGAACGCCGAGGAGGTTCAGCACGCCAGAAGTACGGGCCTGCGTTCTGTGTCCCAATCCCACGCGACCCTCAACAGCAGTGGCGATATTCCGCAAACTGAGGTCAATGCACAAACACCTGCAGCACTGCAGGAGGAAAATACGCAAGTTGTAAGAAACACCATCCGTGGCGTACTGGACCAGATCAGACTTCAGCCCACCATCAACGCCGAAGACCACGCATCCCAGGATGCAGCAGTATCCCGGGACTATGACGGTGATGACGACTGGAGCAGCCTTGGCGATACGACGGTGTCGGAGGGGGGATGGTCTTTGCCTGATAACGCTCACGCTGCTCGCAACACAGCTTTGGAACAGATCAGACCAGGCCAAGCCAACGACGACGATGCTGGTGAGGAGAGGGAGATTGATTGGGATATGCAGGGCGATACGACAGTGTCGGAGAGCGGATGGTCCGTGCCTGATAACGCTCGCTCCGCTCTCAACCCAGCCTTGGGACCGGCTATACAAAGCCAAGCCAACGAGGACGATGATGGTGAGGAGATAGAGATAGATTGGGATATGCAGGGTGATACAACTGTCTCCGAGGGCGGTTGGTCAGTTCCTGATGCGGTACCGGAGATGGAGGGAGTTGGGGAGGAAGGGACTGCCGTTGCTGGTGGTTTTATGGCAGAAGATGAAAGACAGGCACCAGCACTGTTTACATATGGCCCACCTGTAGCCGTTGAGGATGATGAGAATCATGACACCATCCTTAGACATGCCAGCCAGCCCCTCGTTCACAACCAAGACGACAAGATCCCCATCACTCCCTGTGGAGACACCCCCGCAGACAATGGTAACGACGGAAACAGCGTTAGTTCGGACATACTGGAGCTCTTTGGGACTGCGACTGTGACTGGGATGCCGACGTTGGTGGGCATGGAGAACTATCTTCCTTCGGGTGAGGTTACGAGTGAGGAGGAAGATGCGCCGGAGGGTGTCTATGTTTCAGTTGCAGAGGAAAAAGCAAGTCCGCCAGCCGAAGCCCCGATGAGAGATGGAAGTGTTAGTGCTGAAATTAAACACGGCACTACTCCTGCTGAAGAGCCTCCAGATGGGGGGCGCGGTTACATTATTCTTTCAGGAGGCCAGGGTATAATGTTCCGACAAGTCGACGATATTTCGGGTCATAGCAGACACCCCATGGGAGCTCTGGGCAGCGGTTACAAACAGATGGACGAGGAACGAAAGGATTTTGCTACCGAACCCCCCATTCTGATAAAGGTCACCGCCACCGAGCACCGTCACACCTCTACCGAGCATGGAGTGAACCAAGACAACAATGAGACCACTATCCCACGCAGACGTCGTGCAATGGAGGCATATGTTGAGGATCTCTCGGACGATGAGAGTGGATCTCTGGTTGTAGACCTGAACGACTACCTACCCTCCCAGGTGGCCGAAGTCCGTTCGCCAGTTTTGTCCGGCATCGATCATAATCCTCGAAAGGGCAAACTGGATGAAGTGGATGACGCCCGCCCAGTGAGAGCAGCGGCGGTGGAGAGAAGGCCACAAGGACTGGAGAGCTCGATTCATGCGGATGTGTCGAGATACCTTGACGGCTTTGATCCGACGGTGGAGGTTGAGTTGGAGAGGGTTGTGGTGGACCGGACGGGGGGAGATAGTTCTCCGGAGGATGAGAGTGAAGTTCAGAAGTCGGAAAGCGATGATGACGAGGAAGACGATGAGGAGGATGAAGACGAGGAAGACGAGGAGGGCGAGATTTTGGAGAGAGGGGGAAAAAGGAAGAGGGCTGCTCTAAGCTCCAGTAGTTCAGAAAACAGCGGGCCCGCCAGGAAAACTAAACCTGCCTTCGCTTCAGAGCTTAACTCAAACTCTGCCACCCTGCGTTACATTGCGTGGGGTAAGCCGACTACAAAAAAGATCAATGTGGCCCCGCAGGAGGAACAGCCGGACACCGTCTTCCTTCCCAAACCGAACACCGAAACCGCCACCTTTCCAGATTTCACCTGGAACCGTCCTTCGAACAGCCAACCTAGCCCCTTCCAGTCCCGCCTTATCAACACGCTCACGCTCCGCCAGCACGCCCGCTCACTCCAGCCTTCCCCCCTTACACCAGCAAGAACTCGCACCCCCACTACCGCGTCAGTAACACACGCTGCAACGCTTCTGGCGTTCTCACCGCTGCACACAGACTTCCGCGATACGCCGGCACAGGCGGGAACGCATGCCGTCGTTGGTGAGTGGGAGAGATGGAGGCAGACGAGGGCGCCGGAGGAGGTGGTGGCGAGTGTAGGATATCGGACGAGTGATGGGAGGTATGAGAATGAGAGTGGTTCGAGGATTCGGGGGACACCGGCGTATGTTAGAGAGCCGGCAGCGGGTACAGTGTTGCTGGAGAGGAGATTAAAGGGGTGGTATGATAGTGTTGTGGGTGCGGGAGCACGGGGAGTGACACAGAGAGCGTTGGAGGTAAAGGTGGAGGAGTTGGCGGAGGGGAGCGCGTTGTCGGAGGGGTGGTTGGAGGGGTGGAAGATGATGCAGGGAGTGGTGATTGTAGTGGCGGGGAGGGGGTGTGTTAAGGTATGTATTTTCTTTTAAGGTGGAATTTGTGTAAGGAGGGGTTTATGGGGGTGCTAATGTCTTCTGGTGTTGTAGGAGGATCCGATCTGCCTGGATGACGATGACGATGAGTAGCATCTCCGGACGCGCAACTTACCTATTGGTCTCCAAATTTGGTGCGAGTGATAGTTCTTTGGAAATAGTCTTGGAAATTGGCCTTTTGGGCTGGAAGAAGAGGTGGTACATAGTTTCTGCATTTGAATGGTTTCTAGGGAGTCGGGTCTTGGATCTCGTGCATGGCGTTTCTGCTCTGGGTGTTTTCTATGTCGGTTTTAGAAATTCGGTTGATATAGAAGTATACTGCGGCTGTAATAAGATACCATCTCCCCAGGAATTTCGATGGTCTTTAAATTTCTCTTCTCGTTTTCCCCCCCTTATTTTGCAGCATGTTGACGTTGTTTCATTTGGTATTGGGTTTGGTGGTGCAGTGCGGGGATTTTGTGGGGGGGTCCTGGCCGGGGAAGTAGGCTATGGGGTTTTTGGGTTTTTCTTTTGGCTGGTGATATAGGTTGAGTTATTAAAAGTTTAGTTCTAGGTATTGCGTGAAATTAGCTCTAGCTAGAGTCCTGCTACTTAATTGAGAACTCGAATTAGCTTCATAGATTATCACTCGGGAGTCGGGACTTCACCCGCCCAAATTATCTCCCAAAACAATACAAACCTGTTTTCTCAAACCTTCTTGGGTTTATACCGATTACAACTCGTGCCGCATGGTACCTTTGAGGTTTATGATCTCATGCAAGTAGTCTCGGTCATATATTATAACCCGTGTTTCCGGAACCCATCCATGGTGCGCTAGTTAATAACCACTGGGACATAATACGATATTTTGTGACAATAACTGTAGCGGGGGAAATATAGGGATCTTAAAATTGATAAAAGATAGGATAGGCTAAATTAGCTATAATTAAACTAGCTTCATGGGTTATCACTCGAGTTCTGGCGTTCTTAAATTTCCTACGTATATTTACACTTCAGCGTGCATTAAGTTCAGAAAGCTTTGTTAAATGTTTATTACTTGTATTTAATGAAAATCTATGCCGTATAGCAGCTCTTGAAGTGAATACCCACTTCGCTAGCAGCGGACCCGGGCACAAGATATCACTCGGAATCTTGACGGAGTGGGATGGGGGGGACTAGTGGTGGGCCAGACCTAGCCGAACATTTTGTCCTTCAATGTATGCAGGGACATGTTTGGGTCTCGTTATCCTGTCCGTCCCCAGATGTCTAAACCAACTTGCATGTTCTCTCGAGGCCACCTGTCTCGTGACCATTCCTATTACAAAGCAAAGAAACACGTAACAAAAAACCAAAGAACACGACAATATAAATTGAAACCCTCCGGCGACTACAAAGTGTATACTAGCCTATCCCTCCGCCCTTAACTGACCGCACCTATCTCCAGCTCCCTTTGTTCAAGCTGCTTCCTATTTCCTTGTTCATCACCTCAGAGACCCCAGTTGAAGAATTAGCTCTAGAAAGCGATCTACCTCGCTGAGAAGATCGGTACTCGCGCCGGTGATCCCCGCATGCTCCTATGCCGCACTCCGCCTGTGTTCGGATACCGTATCCTTTTCCGTATCGTCTAATTATTTTTATTCTGTTTTAGTCTCATATATAACTTGAATACTGAGCCTGCGCGGAGAGCGATTATGAGGAATGACCCTTCTTAGATTGGCTGCATGCTAACAGGTCCAGTACAGAAACCTCGACTCGCTGTACCAGGCGGTAGGACCCCCGGGGGCGATTGCCTTCTTCGCGGAACTCTTAGGCTTTGGGGATCCAGTTGGCAGAAAGAATTAGTGCCGGTAAGACGACGAGTGCCACGTCATGCGATGTGTGGTTGTGATGCTAATGAGCGAGGTGTTCATGAGCTATAGTACAAGATATATGTGTGAGTGACCAACCGAACCCCCAAAAGAGGGTATAATAAACCTAAATGTGTAATTTCTCAAACATAGAGGTATTGTCGGGTATCAAAAATAGCCGATCACTGGCACCCTCGTGAGACTCGTAGCAACTAAAACCGTCCTGCGAAGAAACCTCACATGGAGACTTTCGATGTCAGAAGGGTAATTCCATTCTTTTCAAGCATCTAACTCCGTTTAGCATACTTTAAGTTGCTCGGTTGCTCTCCTGATTATTGAGGTATTCTGGCCTGAAGTGGATTTCGACGTTGTCTTGAGGTGATCTGTTATTTTTGATACCCGACAATATCTTACGCAGCAACGAGCGAAGTTTGTTGTTTTGGGGAGTTGGATTCGCTCACGGAAGTCCCTACCTACTCCGGCAGCCGCAGAAGCAAGGCGGAAGAGGTTGTACACTTACCTGGGTGGGGTACGCTAGATCTGGGATTGAGATATATATTTAGTGCTAATTAGATCTAGTATCTCGTCAGGTCCTTCTCGGAGCCATACTTAATCTCCTTCTCGGGCCCCTACCCAGCCTATGCAAACACCCCGCCATTTCCTTCCGGAAAGATCTCAAGATCTTTCCTTATCCTTCCAGATCTCCTTGCCAGGCACTACCACATACCACGTCCTGGTGCCACAGATACCACCAGAAACATTGCATTGTTGGGTAAACTACAGAGCTAAGCTCTTCAACGCATATACCCATTTGGCTACTGTGTAGGACACGATACAAGTACTTGCGCGATCGAAGCCCCGATTGAGTTCCACAGGGGTCTGCAGATATCCGCAAGGAGGTGTTGAATTAACGTTATATTTCGCTTCTGGTGTTGTAATTGTGCGGGGTAAGAAGAAACGTAAAACCGCATTTAAATCTAAAAGGCTTGAAACATAGTCTCAGCACCTATTGTTCCGCTATCCATATACCCTTGCATCGGATATGGTGTGGATATCCAAGTTTAGAGTGTGTGGTGTTTGGGTTAAGTATGACAACAAAGGAGTAATGTTACGGGAGAGGGGATGAAATGTAGTTCGTATCAAACAAGGTTTAGATTAACCTTAGATGTCTGACAAAAATTGAATGAGCATGGTGAGGAGTGATAAGACCAGAGGTTGGTGGTGTATAAGCATAGATCACCAAAGCTTCTTCGATTCAGGGATGGCCCCATGCTTCTATTCTATAATCACAGTCACTTTTCATATAAGCAATGCACGAAGGCCAGGTATCGATCAGGAGTACCGGAAGTTGGAGCTTAACCAACCGGTAAGGGTTCCTAGACCATGACTTGCATATCAATCATTACACATTTTAGGTATGCATGGGGTTATACTAAAATCTATCGGACAAAAGAGTCTTTCGCCAAGATCTCTTGCGGTTCAATGTCTGATATTTGTATTTGGTCCCGCAGCACTTAATCGGAAAGAGATCAGGGCTCCCCGAGAATCTTTCCCGAGTCAATTTGAGTCTAGAAGTAGGAATGAATCATATCGCTCATGCCCCCAGCCTTCGTATGACAAGTTCAGGCACAAGTGAACTCTCCTCTTTCCAAGGCCAGCATAACAACTCACCTAGAGGAGATTCATATAGAGATCTAGAGATCCTGTACTATTACGTACAGATTGGCCTTAAGAAATTGAGATATGGTGAGAGCCCTAAGTCAGATACTGCGATCGAAGGTTTCGGAGTGCGCTAATACCGTCATATGCAGATCGACCACGTCAGGAGGTGATAGTTAGAACTGTCGAGAAACTCTTGAGATTCTTGCATAGGAAAGGAATGATGGAAATTGTTTTTCTTTAGATTAGTATGTCTCCACATATTTCGTCGAGTATAAGTACTCGATTATAACCCCACCGCTTTCCTCATCTCCTCATCTCCTCATCACCAGCTCTCACCCAGCCTTCACATCCAAACCCATCAGACCCAACAAGATCCCACCCCAACCTCAAAAAGAAGCTTCTCTCCGTCCTTTCCGTTCTTTTCCTCACTGGGTTTGTAGCCGCGCGAATCGACATCAGCATCACCGAGCATAGCGATCAAGACGATATCGAGGTCAATTACAACGACTACCGTGAGCAACAGGGACAAGAGCTCGACGGCTGGGGCAACAAAGATAAAGAACCGAGGTGCGGGCACTGAACGGAGCCGCGCCAAACCCACAGTGATTGCTGTGGGCCTTCCAGTGCTTCCGGGCGGTTCCAGGACACCCGTGGGATCTACTTCCGTTCAGGTTTTACTGCCAGTAGAGGTGGGTGTATGTGGACATTAATTCTGTGGAGCTCCAATAGCTGACAAATAGTATACCCGAAGCCATGAGAAACAGCAGAAAAGGTTTGGTGGCTGCTTTGTTGGAAAATGGGGTGTCGGAGATGCGCGCGGCAAGAACTGGATTTTTGGCTATTAGAAGGGGGTTTGCAGTACACGAGTAGCAGACTTTTAATTACAAATTGATTTTAAAAGACACTATGTGATATCAGCCATTTGCAGCTTGTGATTTTTTTAATGAGCTTTGACGAACGAAAATCAATTCAGGTTTCCTTTTAAATTTATTGTCATCGCCATCGCCATCGTCATCATCAAAGCAACGTAGCATTTCTAGAACTCTGTAATATATATATATATATTGAGGAGAGTTCTGTCCCCTCTCCGCCGAAGGCCTTTATAAGGGGCTGGTTATCCAAGATAAAAAAAAGGCCTTTAATAGGTCCAGAATATCTGATGACTCCACACACACCCCACCTTCTTGACTCCATAGGATTGGAAATCCTTGTACAGGAATAGAAGTGATAAAGAACAAGCGAGGCTCTTTCAGCGGGCGTTAGCTTTTGCTGCCATGAGGTAGGTATATCTGTACTCCACTACAGCCTCCGTCGCTTATACACCCGTCCCTATAACGATTAGAAAGGATTAGCGAAACCATCGGTAAGCAAGACTTCCGAGATTAAATCTCCATAAGAGACCCGAGCATCCGAGGGACTCACCGAAATATGTGCCCAAACACATACAAAATTACTAAGGTTAAAGTATGGAGTGCAGTCGGGGTGCATTATTGTGGCTGACGATTCTCCATTTATTTCCATCCTTCGCTCTGTTTTTATAACTGTGAAATTCTTTCAGCAGACCTTCAGGGAGAGTTCTAGAAACCGAAATATGCCGGAAATACTGTGGAGTTGTGTACCCTGCATAATATGACCAGAAGAAATGAAAGAAAATGGGCAAAGAAATAACGGAAAAATAGACCGGTGTCATTTTATGACGTTGGTGTTTTTAGGAATCGTCGGCAGTTTGCGCAGAGCCTCATTGCTTGCAGGCGCTGCAGGAACACAACAGAGTTGAACAAAACAACAAACAGGCACATAACCTTTCGCTCTTGAAAGTTCGCCCCAGCGGATCAGGCTCGCTTATCCGCCCCATAAATGCCACCCTCGGTATCTGGCGCGTGACACCCGACCGACGGGCCGCCGTGGGTAGCAGCGAAACCAAAGACCGAACCAATCTAGGCTCTCACCGTTCTGACCTCCGATTTGAGAAGACACCTTTAAGCGAGGTCTTCCTCCCGCGGTAAGATCGAAGATTTCTTTCAATCGCTTTTAGAGTACATGCAAATCTAGTATATAAATAAGGCCGGGACCACCAGAAATGATGAGTTACTTCGGCATAGGCTTGGGAAGAGAAATAGAAGAATTTAGTGAAGAAAAAAAGGTCAGGGGAAAAATATCGGATCAAGGCACCAACTGTTTACCACAGCAGCCTCTGGCACTCATACTGGCCGTCACGCAGCCTTCTGCTCTCCACTTTACGAATTATCCAACCCTGTGCAAGGTTAACCGTGAGCAAGGTATAGAATAAACGCCTTCATAGAAAACATTTTTACAAGCGAAACCTTCTCGAATACGTTACCTTTCGGCAATCAGGGTACACCTTAAAGGGAATTTGTTCTTCTGCGCTTCAAACTTTAGAATGATAACGACAGGGAATGTTTGCTATTCTTTGTTGACTGCAGCACTGGGTTTGTTCATCTTTCTCGGAGGCCGAAACTGTTTCGGTCAAGACATCCAGTGTCATTTTTCTTTGTGAAAGAAACCGGGTACTATCGGAACGATCCGTTGTGGTGTAATGGTTAGCATCAGTCGCTCTCACCGACTAGATCGGGGTTCAATTCACAACTAAAACGAAACCATCATCGTTGATTTGTTTTTTCACCTCTTTTGTTTTAAATGCGGAGAGTGAGGCCGTGGGTCAAAATTCAGCACGCGGGCATCGGAAACGAGCTCGGCTGGTCTAGTGGTATGATTCTCGCTTAGGGTCACACTCTGAGTTGTATGCGAGAGGTCCCCGGTTCAAACCCGGGGCCGAGCCTTATTATCCTTTTGCTTTTATCAGGATGATAGTTGTGTCTGGCTCTGATAGGATGACGGCGGGGGGCGTTGTCGAATGGGCTTCGGGAGTGCTCTCCTCGGTAACTAGGTAGCATTTTGTAGGAAACGAACCGAAGGTCAAACGATGCGAGTGTTTCATCTCTTGTTGAGTATGGGTTTCTCCAGAAGGAACTATTGCCAGCTAGATGACATTCTAGTTAGATGTGAAGGTTGAGTGAGACGCCATGAAGCAAGATGGCAAAGTATTACGGGTTTCCAAAATTAACCGAACGCTCTGTTGCAACCACCCAAACCAAATAGGCCACAATAATTAACTTTCAAATACCTACGATTGAGCCCATATTAAAATCTGAGATAATACAAGCATAGAGAATCACAGATATAACAACTCTTGGCTTTTCCAGCTGTGGTTGTGTTGCAAGGCGATGTTGAATCGCATTCCCATACAATATTTGGTTGTAACGCAGTGTCCGGTTAATTTTGGAAACCCATAATACATACATGTAGGTGTTACCCAAGTTAGACCCGTTTAATCCAACCACCACCACCCGCACCCCCGCACCCAAACCCTCAAACCGCGACCGCACCCCCCACACACCTGGCAACGAGACCACGACCAGCAACAACCTGAAGGTGTTCATTGGCGATGTCTTTTTTTCTTGTCGCACGGATTGGCAGATCTTTTTTAGGGTGTCAATTCTGTTGGCTTGGCAGTACAGTCTCGGCAACAATGAATAGATAGCTAGAGTAGAAACGTGGTTGCAGATAATATCCCTCCGATTATTGGTCAAGTGCAGGTTTCTATAGGAGGAAATAATACCTACAAGTGGTTGATCTGAAGCCCTGGCTTTGGGAGTTTACCGTCATGGATCATCACTCGGAATCCTCAACTTGTCCATACACCCACTATTTCATTTTGTAACCTACTGGTAGTTATGGAGTCTTCAGGTTGATTAAATTTATCTTCCAGCAAATAGAGCTGTTTAACTGCGGAGTCTGGTTCTGTTTCTAACAACTCGCCCCAAGACATCCTGGGGGTGCCGGTGGTGTAGATTCCTGGCTTCCGCGCTAGGGGTTTTCCGGCCAGCTAACTCTCTCTTGCGAGTATATATATATAAATGATGGGAACCAAGTTCAATCATTAGAGGAAAGCATCTTAGTAAACAAGCAGATGATTTGAATTCATTGTAATTATTATTTCGACGGAATACATTAACACAAATACTGCGTTCGGACCCCGACACACAAAAAAGATGACATGCACCTGAACATAAATCAGAGCATGAAAAGAACAATCAATGGGAATCAGAATTGAAAACAAAATAAGGATAAAAAAGTGGCAACTCCATCTCAACCAGCACATAACAGCTCTTCCCGCAGCACTTCTTGATCCCCCTTCCCCGCACCCATGTCAATTCACCATACAACGTATTAGAACCCCCTTACCTCCATCAAGTCTGGAACTGGCTAATATCCTGGCGGTATGAATCCCTCTGGCATAGTCTCCACCTTCACCAGCCTCACGTGCGGCGTGTCGCCTTGATATCCCTGTACCCGTGTCCACCCATTGTCAGCCCAATTCCCACTACTGCCTTCTCCCTGCCCCTCATGACCACGGTGGTTATACCTATTCCGCATGTTCCGCCTTTCATGAGACTGATTCCTCAACAACTCATTCATCTGAAGGAGATGTTTCGACCACATCATCGCCTTTTGCGTATCCTCCTTCTTCAGCTCCTCCCTACAGTCGTCGGCGGAGAGCTTTAAAGCGTAGTATGTTACCCTCTCCACAACGCTATTGTACCGTTGCGCATCTGGCCAGACTCCCTCCTTTTGCACGCGGTCGAGGACGTCCTTGAAGCGGGCGCAGGCACGGAGAAGGGCATTGCGGAAGGCGAGGCTGTCGACGGGATCCACTTGATTGGGCCGGTGCCTCGGATGTTGGTGCTGGGCGAAGACAACTCGGGGAGGGGTGCGGTGGCGGCTGGAACTGCGACGGTGAGAGTCGTGTCTGTCCTCCGTGTGGTGATGGCGGCGGTTGCTCATGGTGGGTGGTTCTGCTAGAAGTATGATCTGGGTATTATAAAACTGGTTGTGGTTGTTACAGGCTGGGATTTGGAAGGAGGAGAGTGTGGTCGAAGTTGGAGATGCTGTATGCTCTGGGGATCGGGGAGTATTTAAGGAACATAGCAAGCCTGCTTGCCAAATATTGATGGCCGATTGAAGTCCCACAGTGCACGCCAATCAAGATCTCCCATATGAAAATCAGGTGCTCTCTTCTACGGAGGGTAGTACAGAAACCGGCGGTCTAGTTGGCCAATTGGAAGCTAAAGGCTGTCTTCGTGTCGCACATAGCTTCGTGAGACATCACGAGGTAGAAGAAGTTTGTCAGTTGCGCAAACGTTTAAAAGCTTATTTCCTCCCGGAAGTGCGAGCTCTCATGCTGGGATGACTGACAGGTAGACTGGGAATAGCATACTTAATTCTATAGGTGAGAGCTTTGCAAAGATTGGGTCTGGAGACATGAGGGGTTGCCAATTGGGATGTCACAGGGCCAATAGCTATAGTTGTAAGGAATTATGAAAAACCAGAATAGAATTGACAGGTTTCTGCAGGTTACTCAGCTATTGACATACACCTTATGATATTCAATCAAGGCATAAATGTAGAGATATGTCATGAGGTATGCAGGAAGTGAACTCACTCTGTCTTCCCGCATGTATGAGGATACATGGATGTCAGCTAACACAACCATATGCATAAAGAGCCGTTTTATCTCTCTCGTCGAATTTATTGGCGACCTCCGAGGTGTTAGTGCATTGATAGACGGTGCAATTGTGATGAGGTGGAGGACCTCCCTGTCATATGGTATCCCGGGCTTCATAAACTCGCATGATGTTTATCCCGCCCAGGACTAATTATTTAAATCATCATGAAATTGCTATTATAATTAGGTATTGTCTTTGCGTGTATATTGAGTTAAAATTAATATCCTACCATTTTGGCCTGCTGCAGCCTCCTTTCCCTCGCCTCTCGTTAGTTGGCAGGATTGAAACCTACAGCCCTGGAGCAGCAATAGATCGTGATAGATTTTGTACATAACACATGGCAAAGGTGAGTCCAGAAATTCACATCCATCTCGTAATTTCAATCAGCGTGATATTTATGTAATAAAGTAAAGTAACTACAATTTCACTTGCGTGTGATAGTGGTAAAAGCTTATTCGCGACTATCAGCACACCACCATTTGAAGAGGCAATAACCGTTGCTATCTTCCGATTCCCATGTCCCAGATATGAAGACAGAAAAGTTATCAAAGCCACCAATGAAAGCTCTTCTCCTCCGTTATCAATCCACGAACCTCCCCCTTCAAGCCTCACCCTGGCACACCCACACCCACTACTCTTCACCCTCACTCCACTCGCCTTTACACATCACACACCCACATTTCCCGCCCTTCCCATTCCCCTTCGCGTACTCGAAATCCATAAACTCGACCACCGTCACCGCACAGCAATACACTCCCCCCCACCTCCCGCCCTTACAAGTCATACAGAAGCACCTCGCCTCCTCCCTCTCCCTCTTGATCCTTGCCAGCTCCTTCTCCTTCTTGAAACTATTCTTCACCATTTTATCCGCCGAGAACATCCCAAACAACTTTCTAGTCGGCGTCTTGGTCTCGGGGGAGAGCACGAGGCGTGCAAGGACGGGGGTGATTTTGGTGGCGACGGGAGTGTCCAGCTCCATTGGTGTTGGTGGACGGGGAGTGCCCACAGTGAGGGTGAAGAGGCGGTTGAGAAGCGTCTTCATCGGTGTTTCAGCCGGTGGGGGAGCATCAGCAGGCTTAGGGCGAATGGAGGGTGTCTCGGTTGCGACATGGTTGTAGAGGTCGAGGGGGGCCATTGTTGCTGTAGAGACCTGAAGAAAAAAAAGAAGGCTGTGGGGATTTGAAGAGGAGCTGGTTGTGAAGGATTTGCAAGGTATTTGGTTGTTGAGATAAATCGCTGTTGTGTTACATGAGAGTGAAGAGGGAGGTGTAGTGTGGTGTGGTATTTATAGTGATCGGGAATGCAGGGGTTAAGGGGTGTGGTTGCTGGTGGCACATTATATTATTATCTACCCAAGGCAAGTGCAATTCCAAGAGTAGTATCCAATTTACTAACAGCTAAAAGCTATCAAGAAAAACAATTTCTCTAAAATCAAAACTAGATCTAATTTAGGATTGGCGGAAGTGTGGGAGCGAGTTGAAAAAGTTCCTAGACTCCGTCGACTGCAGCTACCAATATATGGTATCCTCCCCGTGTTAGTCCATTTAGGAAAATCCTTGAGAGGCTTTTTTCTAACCACCAATTCTCAAAAAACGGTATTAGACACTACACTGTCGGAGTCCGTGAGGCAGATTCATTTATAGTTGTGGCCCTCCGGCCAGATCATCATACCACATAGCTCAGCTTATACCGTGACTTCGGGCCAGATAATCATCTCATCTAACTCATAACCTTCTCCTATCTGTTCATAAATATATTTAGTACAGGTGGTCTATATCTACCAATATATTCAAATGGAACACATAGTAGCATGTATTATTGATAATGAGTCCAAAGAAGAATCCCATGAAGTTGCCTAGACTCATGAGCCTACGCAGAAGTCTCCAAATATGACATTTTAGCAACCGCCCCCCAGTCCTCGCGCCGGACGAGGTCCGCTGCCTACAAAACTCCGAGAAAAAAACAATTCCGGTGGTCTCATTAACCACCATTCTTAACGGCCGGGGGTGGCGAGAGGGATCACATTTGTTGGACAGTGCCTAAGTAATCAAGATCTAGATACCATACTACCGAATATGTTGCAACCAAACACTATGTCTTTTTTTGAGAAATATCTTCTCCTCGCCCCTGTCCTGTACGCAATTCTCTTTCGTAAGGTAAGAGGTCCTGAGATGCAAAATGTACGTATTATCGCCCGTAATGGCCATATATGCATAGCTACCGATAAACATACAATCGCAAACCTCACCGGATCCTTTGGAATAGCAAGTGCTGATGTTGTTATAACCTCCAATTCAATTCCCAAGCCATCTATAACCGAGTTCGCTTGTCACCGGCCCGCAATTAATCACAATATATCACTCGCTATCTCCTGAAGCTAAGCTGGCCCGCACAAACAATGCATTCCCTGAGCAGGGCATCTAAGCACAAGTGCGTACGCTTCTTGTAGTCACTCAGAAATGGGATGTTATCTGATCGTCTCGGTGTGGCCGCCAGTAGAGCTTTCGCCCTCCTCGGGCTGGGCGACCGGCTTTTTTCTCTCACTCAATTCCCACACCCCTCTTCTCAGGATTGCCTTTCGTCACAGAACATCTCTTATTCATCACTAAATATTCTCATTCACCACCAAATATTTATTCTTCCCATGCAAAATGAATTCGGCCGCGAAGATCTGCCGCACCGGTAACTCGATCGAGCACCCCCTCCTTAGTACATAATTCTACTTCCCTATTTCCATGAACTAATAGCAATAAATACGCAGCTCCCATGCTTCCAAGCCAGCCCCTGAAGATTACTCAGCGTCCCTACAAGTCCAGTATCGATTCTTCTCTCACCGCCGAACTAGGATTAATGAAAAGTCTAAGAACCGATTCCCCCACTCGCAGAGATAACTAACACCGAAGCTAGAACGCTCCCGTCAGGTCAAGGGCGGCAGCGGAACATCTAGCTATAGTTTTAAAGAACCGGATAAGATTATGTCCGGAAGTCAGCTCTGTTTGTTCTTCCCCGTTCCACTTATGCTTCCCATTTCATCCCATAACCCAAGCTCCGAGTCTCGTGACCAGGCCTTTCTCGGCTTCACTCGTCCCTGCCCTGTACAATTATATCACACACCAGGCTAGGCTACACAAAAGACTAAAAAACACCCAAGCTAACATCTTTTGCCCCACCACTAGCCGTACTCCCTCCCAAAGCCAACAACGCCCAAACCACCCAAAGGCCCTCCAGTGTCTCCGAAACAGAGCTTGCAAACCGCCTCCTGCACGAAATCGCAGAAATAGACCGCCGTCCCTCGGGCCCTCTTATCCTTTACAATCTCCTCTCACAGCCAATCCTCCCTCCCACTACCACTACAGCCAACATCATCGCCGCAGCCCACATGACCCCAGCCCAGAGCTCTCCGATAACGACTCTCACAGTCACAGCGCCAGCACACCCAGTCCCCCACCCACATCTCTACAAGGTTCTGGACTACGCAATCTACCCATTCTGCCCCCCGCCTCGCCGCAAACAACTTGCGGTAAATCTGGCCGCACAGAAACAGCAAGCCATTGCGCTTGCGGCGGCGACGGCGTGGGTGCGCGGCGGTGTGGCAGTTGCTCAGGAAAACAACGCTATAGTTGTTGGATCTGTTTTGGTCGGTGCAGAGGTGAATGCCGCTGCTATCAACGGCGCTACCGAGCCTACTCCTAGTGCTACGGTGATGGCTGCTCCGCTAGCGACAAAAAAGAAACCAAACCGCAACCCGCGGGGGCCGTACAAGAAGCACCGGCGTGTGGAATTTATTGCCACAATTGCCTCTAGTTCGACCACCGCTACTGCCACAACTGATGGTGGCGAAAATGAGGGCGAGGGCGAGCCCGCGGCGAAGAAGCGCAAGCATGGGGGCGGACGCAGTAAGGGAGTGGTGGTGTGTAATCTGTGTGGAATCTTGTTTACGAGGCCGTTTACGCTGAGGAGGCATGTGGCGAATATGCATAAGGAAAGTGTGGAGTGCGTTTGTGGTGTTAGATTTGAAGGGGAGGAGGAGAAGGGTGTGCATCTTGATGGGGGTGGATGTGCTGGGGTTTGATGCAATGGTGGATTGCGGGATTAAGATTTGTTTAAGTGGGTTTGAGGGGGTCTGTCAAGTTTGCTGGAGGTCATTTGAGGGGGTTGGGTGGATGAGTTTGATTTGATTTGATTTGATTGAAATTGGTTTGATTAAAATTAATTTAATTGAAACTAATTTAATTGAAATTGATAAGATTAAAATTGATTGGGTTAAAGTTGGTTGGGTTGGAATCGATTCTGTTGAAATTGATTTGATGGTGGGATACCTATTGGGTGGTTATGGGTGTCGAAATCATGAGAATTAAGAATAAGGAAATAAACATGAATTGGCCTTTGGAACAATGTTTCGTTGGATCAGTCTACAGGAATAAGCCTATATTTTGTCGTTTCTCGGTGGGTCGCGCTTGTATCTCGCTGAGTGTCTAATATGTAGCTAGTTCAATGAAAGCTCCGTGGAGTTGGAATTGAGATTTCCACAGAATATCCGAGTATCATAATCATAAATGATGAACTGGGTGAAGAACTTGCGGTTTACACTGTGGGCTTTGGAGCCTCACTGGAAATATTTCTCTACATTTTCCCACCCGCGCACCGCCAACTACTTCCGGCCTCATACACTATATAAAAATATCGAATCCACAAAATCAACTTGCCAATATTGTTCCAGTGTAAGCCTATACAAGAAGCAGCAATTTAGTTAATCCCTAAAACACCTGAAGATCATCATCTCTTCCTCAATTCATTGATACTGGTACATCCACTTGTCCATTTTAGATAGTCCAGAAATTACCCAATATGTATATCTATGAACCCCAAATATAATTCCACCTGGATTTCGCGGTGTTTGTAGGTCTAGCTTCTCCGAGCTGCGGAAAGATCCTGGCCACATCTGCACACACCCATACCCGCCGTTCCATGCATAAGTGGGGTCACCGCTCCAGAACCGTCCGCAGTTCCTCCAAACGACTAGATTTGAACTAGAAGCAGCCTAAAACTAAAAGTTTCTTCTCGAGCTTCGATCGTACTTGACGTGTTGCAGTTGACGTTGCTTGTGTAACATAGGGTATGCCAAGAGCCTTGGCGATACGTTGTCCTTCCAAGACGATTATGGTAGGCCAAAGAGAAGTGGGCGCGCCTCACGATCTTATTTGTAGTTTAAATCATTCAACCACTGCTTAACAGCATGCCCGTTATAAGAATGAAAATGCTAACTACCGATTTTCTCTCATGGCGCGGGAATCCAAGTCCCCTACCTACGCTAGTAACCCTACGCACATCATCTTCTCCACGAGGAAGCCACAGCACGCCACAGGAATATGGGTCCCAGAAGCGACGCTAAAGCAATTCAAGGCTCTTTTTTTGTAGCTTGATAGGCCACAGCAAAAACACGCGCCTGGAGGTTGATAAGTATAGGGGACTCCGACTCTCGAGCCATACCTGTGCGGTGAAATCGAAGTTGTTGTCGTTGCTACAAGACCGGAGGCCACGTTGTACCTGGATGTGGAATTTGCAAGTGCTTCTCGAGTTTCCTGGAACACTATGCTCGCGCAACAAAAAATCATACAACGCCGTACATCGATTTCTATCCTGAAGCTATAGGCTTCTGTAGATATTAGCCGGTGGTTGGAAGAGATGAAACGTAAGAGGCTGGGTGTGGCCCGAGTGTCTTCACTCCGGGTCTCTCTAGCTAGAAACACCTAGAGTGAGAGAAAATGGTGAAAAACGATGGATCCACGAGCTCCTCTGGTAATCTGACGACGTAGAAGGAAGCTATTGATGACTAGGGGTGATTAGTAATACGTCGTGGTAGGTACATAGTTATCATTGGCTAGGAATTTACCCGGCGGTTATGACAACGAGGCTGAAAATGCCATCGAGTCCAAATAAAGCAGTTACGCAACCTGTGAAAATATCAACAGATATTTATCAGGGACACTAAAGTCTGTAGTCTCCCAGTTGAGATGGTTGGCTTGATCATACAGGGCCTCTTCGATTTGCTATTGTGGGCGGGCTGACGGGCCTCGTGCTGGTTGGAATTGTTTCCTTTTCGATGCAGTGCCAATTAACTCAACACCACAGCATAATCTGAGTTCGCAGGGCACGAGTGTGCATAAGTCCTCAAGAGCAACGATTGAACTCATGCATATCGAGTCTTCCCTCTGGATACCCGGCCGAGTAATAATGAGATGACATAGGCATTAAATTTAGTCGTACCTTCCTCTGCCTGCCGTCAAATTGTGGAAGAAGCTAAAGCGTAGTACGTATATATATAGGCTTCAAGATGATATTTATTTCATTTCTTGTTTTGGTGAGCACCTCCCTTCTTGGACTATTTTTCTAGCTTAAGGCTGGTGTAGCCCACGATATGTTGACGCTCGGGGTGTCCGCCTCGAGAGGGCGCAAGACATGAGAGTATGCGAGTTGAATGTTGTCGAGGTAATCCATCCAGAACCCTCCTATACTGCCGGAGCTGATTGGTGGTTGTATGATCATAGGGCTAGTGGGGGCAGTTCATCCCGCGGGATTGGTGTTTCCGCTGTCGGTGTGAATATCCGAAATGTTCCCAGATTGAGGTGGAGTGAGCAATTATCCGCCTCGACCAGTCCGCCTACCAGTCATAATCCTGCTCTGCATGAGCATCCAAAGTCATGGACCGCACGAAGTAAGGCATCTCGAGACACTTCCCTCCACCCTCTGTAAAAGCCTGTCGCGCAGATAGAGTGGCCGTGTTGTTTAGTAATGTCATTCTTCGTCTATAACTAAATCGAAAACAATGTCTGGACAGAATCCAAGTGGCTAAAGTGAAGCGTTAAAATAGGTTGGTAGGTGAATCTAATTTTATTTTCCCACATGTATTTATAGTCAGTAAACCGAGCCTTTACACCGACTTTGTCAATGCTGGAGAGACTTACATGACACCCGGAAGCCTTTGCGTACGACCGTATAGTTAACTTCAATAGCTTGAAAGTTTCTATTCCCTACCCACTGTCCCCCCCATTCGGTGATTGAGATCCGAGAAAAGGAAAACGACTGCCTAGGCGGATTGAGATTTAAGTTCCGTTTCTGTCCGTCGGTATGGTGTCACTTTACATTACGTCGGAAGGGTGTCCAAACTTTCGCGAAGGTACACCACCCAGAAGTGGGGCTTTTTACGGTGGTCGATGGTCTGACTAGTAGCTGTGTTGTTGTTCGGAGCCCGAAGACACGTATGGTGGCGGTCGATTTATGCTCAACACCCGGCAGGTGGGTTGTCTCTGGATGTGACGGGGTCGGGCCCGGCCTAGCCCGACCTTCAAAAACCACAGTGGCACTATTTGACAGCTGCAACGCGTCAAAAACTCAGTTCTCTCTGACGACAGAGCTCCGACCATCGGATTTCTTGTGCCTCCAATTGCAGGTATGCGCACCATGCTGCAAACGGGCCCTTGCTCTCGCTCTTCTCTGAAGGTAGTTGCTTACTGTCCTTCCAGGCCATGAATGAGTTTCTTGTGTTTGAAATGTCCAACACGAACTCAACCAGGAACTGCCCTCATCATAAGCGCGACACGTGGCTCCCGGCTTACGTATCAGAGAAGAGGAAGTTCCTCTTCAGCTCCCTATAAACGGACTAAGGCAATCCAATCTGTGGGCTGGAGATTTCGCAACGTTTTGGCGCGAGGGTGTAGGCGATGGGCGGAGGGAGTTGATCATCGGTTGTGGCAAGAGCGAGCCTCAGCGAGCCATCTCCCCCCACCACGAAATTCGTCGAAAACTCCATGGCGGAAACACCGCACACCATCCTGTGGAAAAGCAATTTTCGAACCCGCAATGACTCAGTAATCAGCTATCCACCATGGTGTTCAACCCAGCCCTATTAGCCTCCATCTCCGTTGATAATTTGATCGTTGTACGACGGGCGGCCTTCCACTACGAGAGAAATATAGAAGCTCATCACGACCACACAAACTATTCTTACGCTCCCAGCTATTCATATTCAACACCTATCCGAGTCAACGCGCCGCGGCTAAGATAGATAGCCTTGCGCCCATCCCATCGCCAGTCCTCCTATCAAATTGCTCCTACCTCCCGTGGCTGGGATTGACATGTCATTTACACCAAGTGAGAATTTGGAGGGCGGACGGAAATCGTACACATATATTTGGCTCATTGAGCAACACAAAGGAGACTCCCGCCACTCCAGGCTGCCATCCATGCATGGGTCGCCTTGCATGAATCGCAGTAGGATGCTGTACCTGCAGTATGGATAAAGTTCTCGGGGAAAGCAAACCCAGTTTTAACAGCTGGCGGGGTAAAGACCAGCGGACGGTTGACACCCAACCAAAGCCTAGCAATACAGTGACGACTTGCCCGTCCTAGCTTGTAGACCTCCGAACGCCCAGTGTCGATATTATTTTAGCGAGTTGCATTTGAAGATGCAATAGGGGCAGATACAGGTGGAGTGATTCAGGAGGAAGAAGGTCATCTATTCAAAGGTCCAATATCTCTTTCGTACTGGTGGGAGGTGTGTCTGTCGGTTAACATCCGAACACCTCTGTTGCGCTTATCATGTGCTGCTCGCCAACGAATGAAGGAATCCAAACAGAGGATCAAGTCTCGACACCCAACACAAAACAGAAAGGAGGAATAAGAAGGCACCTCCTTGTCAAGGGGGAATTTTTTTTTGTATGCCTCTCTGCTGAGCCTCCTTTGGATGACAGGAATCAACGCATACCATAGCCGAGCTCACTACCGAAGGACTTTAATTGACACCGCGCCCAGCATACGAAGTACGCATCCTAATTGCGAAACTCCGGTGATATTCTGATATGATGATGCGCTGCGATTCCGAAGGAACCGCGGGGTAACAGAGTGCATGCGCAAAGGCTGCGCTCACGCCGCTAACCGATAGCGAGGAAGAGCAGAAAAGTAGGATGCCATTCAAAATCCCATGGATGGGACTTTTTTCTGTTTTTTGTCCTACTTGCATGATGGCCGGAGGGTACTGAGACACATAGGGCAGGCAACGAATGGAGAAGACATGAATAGCAAGCTAGGAGAAAAAGAGTATGCACAAAATACCGCAGTTGCGGTCATTGACGTGCGGTTGTTGCCGCCAAGCGTTTCTGGCTTGAGCCTCATTGTTTTAGGATCGGTTATGTGAGCCACAACAAGGGTTTGTTGAGCCGCACTCCTTAATTAAGCCACATCGGAAGGTCAAGTCAATGACTGGTTGACTTGAAAAACAACTGATGGCCACATCTCACTTTTTGCAATTGATTGTGCTTGGAGCATTACACTGGAATACACAATTTCGTCATTTTGCCAAAATACGGAGTATCTGGTGTCATGGTGGGTATCTGGAGGGTAGTTAAGTCTAAGAATAGGCCGGCTAATTCATTGAACGACAGTTTAGAGCCAAAGAGGAATAGAAGATCAAGCGCTGAATTTCCTTATAGTCGAACAGTGGAAGAATGATACGGAACAAAAGGCGACTCTCCTCAGGCTGAGTATCGTTGAAACTCAAGGAATCTCTACTGGATCAACGTGAGACTACGCACACGTAAACTGGGTACTAAAATTGCAGCCTCCCTTGTGTGAGGGGAGGAAATCAACCTTTTCTTTTTCTCTTGCGGTGATATGTTCTTGTATTTTCCCCCGCTCGGCGTACGCCGGGGCAGTGGTGGTCTTAATATTGTCGCCCCAAATTCATGTTAAATTGTAGAACTTCAAGATTTTATTTTTATGCGCATGATTATCGTGTTCCTTGCCGTCCTGGCCGGCACCTGTACAGGTTCAAACGAACCCCACGCAGCGTATATTTGTGGATATTGGTTGGTTACAGAAGACGCTTTCTTTATTAGAAGATTTTTTCCTTCGTCCATTTATATCTTTTAGATCTTCTTTATTTCTTTCTTATTCTTCTTAATTCACGTATTGCACTCTGTATTTCACTGTATTTCCTTGTCATCTGATTCACCATGGTTCTAGTATGAATAAATGTTCCTTGTGAAGCCATGGGTCACAAATCCATCTCACCACCATAAATAGGAGGCTATGAGAAATCACTAGGGGAATTGTAATTTAGTCTCCAAGATATAAGCGTGTGGTGTTCGCTATACTTATACCCCATTTGACAGCCACTACCCGGCCTGAGACATAAAATGTCACATATATCTGATCATGAGAGAGATCGGTCCTCGATAGAACCAACACATCAATTCACAACATCTACACCTTAGTATGGGGCAAAGATTCTCCACCATCTTGTAAGTGATTATCTCAGTGGTCTTCAGATTATATTTTACCAGCCGATGAAAGAGAGACACTAGTGCTGACCCATACACTCCAAAAGTGGTCACAACGATCACTGAGCCTACCGTGTACTAGTAAAAAGTAATTATTAGTTACAGGCGATAAAAACTATTCCGGATCGGCTCGGCTAACCGATTTTTGAATAAATTAGTAATGCAGGTATTCGAGCTAGTAACCAGTCTAACAACCGAACTAACCTTATTAACAACTATAATAATACCTTAGTATCGTTGAAGTACGTAGCGCATGATGAGGCGTAATATGTGGCTAAGGAAAATGTGTCTGACGAGAAGCGACGTAAGAGAGAACCACACACTAGATTAGTCTTCTTGTACTCATAGATCAAAGTCGCCAATACACAGTCTGTCTCGTCTTTACTCTACGTTGATTTTGATTGATCGTCATTTTGTGACCAGTTGGAACAAGACTCTAGAGAATACAGAAAACAGCCAGCATCGTCTAAAGATAAGTCGTTAATAATTAAATGACAGTGTGGCGTGCATCTATAGGGGTGAGCTACATTGAGCGAGCGCAATACTCCAGAGCCTTCCAGATGCCTGTATTCTATCAAAACAAAACCTCTACGGCATTTTAGTTGATCTGATCCAGGGTTAGGGTTCTCGGCGCACTGTAGCAGACTACAAACACTTTTGTAATAATTAGGCCGTCTGCATTCAGCTGTCAAGAGATTTGGTTTTCAAGCATTTGGTTTGCTAGGTACCTGGGTCATTAAAAATATGGCCTTCTTTCCATGCACTTTCCCTCTAATTTTCTTCATTTCTTCCAAACAAAAACCAATCTTTCGATCATACCTCGGACCAGCATGATGCAATATTTATCAAAGGAATTATAAAATCGTAGAGACACCTAAGCATTTTTTTATCCATTCCAAAGTACGGTGATCTTTGTATTTTCAAATAGGATTAGTGCTTCTCTACATTACCTCGCTTGCAATATATGATGGTGATCCATCCACAACCCCGAACCGATTTATCAACCCGACTCGGAGTGAGCTGTCGTCAGAAGAAGTAATCGTGCCTTCTGTTGTAGATCTCGACGTTGTGCTCGATATTTTCAAATCTAATGCTAACGGTGTCTTTAGCGAACTCACGATGACGTCCACTAGCGGGGTGAGAATATCCGACTGTGACGAAATATTTACTATGTCAATCTCCAGCAAGAAAGTATATAACGAGGAATGTCGAGTGCAACACTGCCAATCTTCTACCAGAATACTTAACACTCGAGATCCAGATATCCACAACTTCTCCTCCCAACCCCCCCAATATCCCACCTATTGACTAAAGTAATCTCACCGCGCCGCACAATGACGACACACCGACTTTCCCCATTACGTTTACCCCCACCAATCATCCCGACTAGTATAACTATTACTCGCTGGTGCGTCATGTCCGACCAGCTTCGTGTAAGTCATCAATATACCAGCCGGCAATACCTCGTGTTCCATATCCTATTACTAACCAAGTATTTTAGTTCAACACAATGGCAAGCAAAATAAGGGGCGACGTGAGCCTCTCAGACTTACTCACAACTCAAATACGCCTCACCTCGCTCCCGAACGAGCTTCTGATCGCGATTGCGAACAACCTCGATCGCAGAAGCCTATCCCGATTGATACAGGCCAACCACCGCACTTGTCATGCACTCACCCATATTTTGTATGACGACGTTGTCCGCGAGCCAACTGGATATAAGCCCCATCTCGAAACCACATACAAAATATTCAACCACTGCGTATGTACGGGTTTGCTCGGGCCAATGGCGAACCTCCTCGTCCGGAAAGTCGATCCTCCGCCGCCGATCATCAAAGAAGCAATCCGGTGCGGCCGCACAAAAGTTCTGTTGACCATGATACGCCATAATGAGGCTGCCTTCCGAAAGACGGTAAGGGAAAGATATGAAATAAATTCCGACGACGAGTACCCTCTCACCGGCGCGGTCAGTACTAGACAAATTGATGTTATCCGCTTGGTTTTACTTTATCTCAGTCCCAGGCACCGCAGCATCCTACAAGCGACCAAAGAAGCGATATCCGGAGACCAAATCTCTGTGGTTACATTTTTCATGCGTCGGGGCATGCTCTCGAATAGACAGATCTGCCTTGCCTTCCTCCACGCCTGTGAGCTCAACAAGCCCCGTATCGCAGGTGTTCTCATCTCTCACATACCGACCGCCAAACGACCAGCAATCGCAACGAGGGGTGTATCAACAGCCATCGCGAACGGGCAGCCACACATCCTGAGACAACTGATCGCCCTCGGCGGTGATCTCCACGTTTCTGCCGGCCTCGGCTCGGGATGGGGCGAGTATGTGGAGGAGATTGGGAACCACCTCCATGGGCTCGCCAGTCAGGGTGTTCTGGACTGGCGGAAGAGGCCCGATGAGCTGCTGGAGATCTATCAGATCCTCCTTACCTCCGGACTCGACGTTAATCAAACAAACTCCTACGGCGATACGATTCTGATGACGCTGGCGAAAAATGGACCGAAGAGTATCGACAGATCCCACAGGCCTTCGATTGGGCAGATGAGGAAAGCGTGCGTGCTATTCCGCAGGTTGTTTAGCCTGATTCTCTCGATGCCTGGTGTGGATGTGAACGTGAGGGATGTTACTGGAGAAACCGTGCTCGGGATCGCGATTCGTAAGCGGGACTATAGGATGCAGCGCTTTTTGATCCAGCATGGGGTAGACACTGGCATTGAGGTGCAATCGTAGTTGAGTAATTCTTGGTGGGATTCTGTCCTAGATATATATGATGGAGTTTGGGTGTTGTTTTTAAAATTAAATAAGAATTGTCGAGTCCTACAAGGAGAATATGCACTTTGTATATAGTTCATAGAGTTTAATAAAAAACCTCTAGCCCCGCAAGAATCATGTGCTCCACTAGCAGTGATGTTAACATCCCCTGTTTCTTTAGTGGTACATTCTGATCCCTGTGCATCCGAAACTGGTCAGCGCAAGAGATGCAGCCCCCGGAAGGGCCAACAGGGACACCCCAAAGCCCATACTTCTGAAGACTGTATCTGTCGCATTCAGTAGTTCACGAATTCTGAATTTATCAGAAAGGAGAAGGCAGCAGCCACATAACCACTCATGGATGGATTGCCGAAACACTCGGCTTTCGGTCCACCAACATTCCCTAAATTTTGTTTCTCCAGGTTTGGGGATAACGAATCTCGCCACGACGATGTTTCTGATTGTATTGAGGTATAATAAGGCAAGCAGAGCTCTCTCGCGCTCGTCTTATATGCCTCTCTGCATCTCCACGCCACGCAAGATATTCTGATACCTGAGACTTGACCGGTTGCCAGGCAGCGAGTAAGCTAGGCCAATTCGTATTGTGATCGATGACGCAAGCACAAGCGAAGCTAGTGTAGCCGAATCAAACGGTATAACATTTAACTCCAAGTCCGTAGTTCCCAGTATTACGCAACGATGTTGTTATTTGCACCGTATGATGCAACTATTAAGCCGTTGTGCAGCCCGCGATAACCCGCGATACTAGTAATCATCGGAGATGGGCGAGTAGCTTTGGGCATGAGAGACTACTCCATCCTGGTCTGGACCGTTACAGCTTCACTAAGGTCATCGAGCATGGAAACTGGCTCTTCCGGAGCTCTACGATACCCCACCAACCTATGGTATTCTTACGTACCGTTGTAGTTATAAATAGATAAGAGGCGGCTTTGGACAAAGCCAGTTCAACAACGGTCCTGGATCTGTGCGTATCAGATAACCGCAACGGCGCGCAAGGCTGACAGCGATTGGCCCAATTGGCGAATCCGCGTCTTGCTCATCCATCCAGCTTCATTTTTGCTCTTCCGCCCCGCGGGAGCTATCGTGGGTATACTATCCCATTAGGGGTAGTCTTTCTTCCTAATGGTCGGAGGTTTTTTAGGGATAGAGGACAGGGTTAGGGTTATATTGCGGTAGATTTGGGAAGTTGGCATTATTCAACTTCGGCAACCAGTGCGGCTCATCAAATTGCAAGCCTGCAAGCATGGAAGACCTCCGAATAAAGAAGAAATTCAGCGGTATAGTGAAAACGAAACAAAGCAACTAAAAAGGTGTAAAATAAAAGAGAAAAAAATAAAGGAGGTAAGGGGAGCGTTTGTTGGTGGTCATCGTTGGCATTGTCAACAGTGCCCGGGCTAACCTCGCATAGCAACCAGACATCAGAACTCACTCGATTTTGTAACATCTCATAACCACACACAGCTCGCTTAACTCACTCCCTAAACTTAAGGGAATAAATGTTATTGTTCACAGAGTGTATATTGAAGGCCATTAATTACCGTCTTTTTGTATTTCAATGTTCTTTTTGGCATAGTGGACGTTGTTGGCTGCTTTCTGTATTCACTAGAGTCTTGTTCAAAACTATGATAAACCACGACCGAGCAAAACATTGTAGACTGAAGCCGAGGACAGACGATGTATTGATGATGCTATGCGAAGTACAAAAGCGTTACTCTGATTGTTCCTGAAACCACACTCGATCAGCTATTTGCTCCGCCACATCATGCGCCACGCGCCACAACGTAAAGGTTACTATTTTCGATCTTTTACTGAAAAGTGGTTCGCAACCACAAATTTTTGCACTAGTTTAAAGAGATATTTTTCTTTGATCATATAGTAGGCTTATATGCTTAGAACACAGCGTTTAAGATGGAGTTCCGTTGCTCGAAGGGCGTTGTGTTGTTGCCAAAGACGTTGAAGGGTTAGCCGGTGATGGGGAAACGAACTAACCAAGTTTGTCTTCGTTTCAAGTACCGGGTGTTGAGGGTAAGTGATCAGAATCTGATAAGTGAATACTGTGGTGAATACTTGAGTTTTGTCTTATCAGATTCTGATCACTTTTTGCTACACCCTAGTACAACAGTGGTGGAGTTACAATAATATTTTCCGATACTTAAATATCGGCCTTCTGGTCGCGTCGCCTATTGAATGATGCCGGAGCGTCTGACAGTGGCCATTTTTACCTATCCTGCGAAGAATGATGGACATAGGAATATATATATTCATGTGAGAATTAATTGGTAAAGAATTCAGAACACCGGAAAATCGACCATATATCTTATCATTGTTTTTCGTTAGCTTATCAGATATTACTCGATCAAGGACCTCTATTCCTTCATTGGGAAGTGGGCTCGCAGAGTCGGCCGGCGATAGCGGCGGCAATGTGAAAGAGGGTAATGTTGCTGGGCGCGGGCGGGGGAAATGGGAATCGTTTTTAGAATATTGACTGTAGGTATGGTAGTCTTAGTTTGATCGTGAGATGTTTTTTGTTATTCGATCTGGTGTGTAGTGCGCACGTGTGGCTTCTTAGCTCTTCCTGCTTAGGGGGCTTGGCACCAGTAGTCTTTCCGTTTCTTTCTTTAATTTATTAATTGCATGCATACTTACGGTTAGGGTAAAGTAATCTCCGTGTTCCTAGTTCGAGAAAATTGTCTTTGAATTCTCTCTAATTCACGGTTTCAGCAACGAGAAAACATATTTCTCACATGTCGGTCCACCTGGACCGTGACGCATTCGACATTTGTTGACTGGGGCGTACGGTGTGCAAAATCTATAACTTTGTATTGCGTCTATATTAAAATCTATTTATATGTAGTGCTCGGTTCTCACTCTATATCCGAGTACATCACAAGTTCCCACCCGCGCTTCCCTGGTGGATACTATCCTTACAAGCCTTTAGAGCATGATCAAGAAGCGACTTCACCTCTCGAACGGCGGCGGCCGCCTCATCTACATGATTAAACAAACTTTCGGTAAGCTGTATCCACTTATAAATACCGCTCTGTGCTTCAGGGCCAAGGTCGGTGCTGACATCTGCCTTAGAAGCCCGGTCGAGCGAAGTTTTGAGATCACAGTTTTTAACAGCCGCCGTGATCTCCCGCAACCCGGTGTTGATTTCAAGATCTAGCCCGTTCAACACCCGTACATGTCTGAAGAAATCCTTTTTCATTGTGCGGAAATCTTGTTTCATTTCAACGACATCTCCTTGGACAGATGTGTAATAAGAAAGGAGATCGGGCTCGGTCATTTTTAAAGAAAGATTGATTTTGGATCGCCCGGTCTGTAGTCTTGTATCTTTCGGGAGTATCAGCGTTACTGGGAGGTGTATATGCCTGGGGAAGGACTATTGATTTTATGTATCTTCTCTAACATCTATGATTATCGTTATATATAACGAAGGCCCATCGGCGACAGACGACGAAGAATCTGGCCTCTTCCAGGATCTTGGGGCCATGCAATCGAGGCGCTTCCGCCCCACTCTGTTAATTTCTATGATTTTCTCGGGAATTCATGAACACGTTCTTACCAGTTTTGAAAGGAATATGACTAAGATAAAGAACACGCTGTCACTGGTATTCAGAAGAAATTCTATTCGCATCTCTTACACCCTTTCCTGGTATCATAATAAAATGGTCATCAATACCACTACCATCTAGTCACGAAGTCCCCTTACTGCGCACAGGTGCCCGCTCATTCTCCCAGCTTCTCCTGAGATGAAAAGCGCCATACCATCGTTACTCTAACCACCACCCCGACATCCCCGGTGTCACCTCCATCCCTCTGACCTCATCCTCAAGCTCCTCCACCAGATCATCAACACGCTTAATCTCTACCCACAAATCCTCCATAACAGACCTCAACAATGTTATCTCCCATACCAGTTCCAGCTCGGAACCGCCAAACTCAAGCGTAGCCCTCATGTCAAAGTGGTCGACATTGGCAATGGGATTATTGTGGAGAACCGCTTCGAGCTGGAGCTGCAACTGCTCGAGATCCTCATGGGCCTTGAAGTAGGCGTTGAATAGTACTTGTAGCTCGCCTTTGAGGCGGAGGAGCTCACTTTGGAGGGAGGTCTGGGGAGTTCGAGTGTCGGACATCTTGTGTGATGGTATATTTCTTCGGTGCTTGTGACTTGTGTATAATCGGTTATGGTGTATTTGCAGTGTACTGGTTGAGAAGAGCGGCTATGTTGCGGGATTGATGTAGGTACAATATGAGATGTGATTTATATATCACCAGCTGATTTCATGTATACAGAACTGGTTTCTTGATAATCTTTGGAGGGTGAAGCAATGGGCTGAAGAATTACTTCCATGCCTATTGCAAACACAGTAAATCAACAGCTTGAAATAATGTTGAATTTCTCGGAAGTCGCTGTTGTGTTGATACGCTTTCAAAATCACAGCTATGTGGAACATCCAATCCCGTATCAATTATTCTATGTTTTTTTCTGTTTTTTTTTTTTTTTTGACAGGTGGTTTAACAATTGGTAGTAACATCACCAGCACAACTGGCTTAAAGGTAAGGAAATCCTATACAGGTGAGCTTGGTGACTCAAACTCTGCACATTCTATGCCATCTTCACAGAACACAATAGCGAGAACTGGGGATCAATGTATTCACTGCCTGGTTTCAAGATACGCGACCCGCTCATGACGCATTCAAAGTACTTGCAAGTACCTCGCTGCTTATGATGCCGCACTCAAGAGTATTCCATACAGCTATTGAAACCTTCTCTCTTCCCTGGTACAAAAAGAAACCGGTATCACCATCTTACCACCCCATAATACCAGTATTCCCCAGATTCTATACACAAACGAACGAGCTACTCCTACAATATCCAACATTTCAAAGACCACATACACAAGCACCACATAAAATGAAGCTCCCCCTCAGCACTACGCCAGCCATATCAGCCGCAACCTTCACACCATCTCCACCACCCTCTACCGCCTCAACACCGGCTTTGAAACCATCCGCGACCGCATTAACCTCCTCCGCCAGAACACACTCCACCCCCATCTCTGCAGCGGCCGCGCACCCGAAAAGTTACGTATCACTCCCAAGAACGCACAGGAGGTGTGCGACGGCCTCCGTGGGACTCAAGACATGCTCGCAATAGCCAGCATCGACCTCCATGCCTGTGGCGAGAGTTTAAATGGCGTTCGCGGAATGCTGGACACACTTGTTGAGCCTCGGCGGAACCGTAGTGGTCTGGCGGAGGGTGAAGAGGAGGGGTTTATCGCTTGGCCGGGGTTGGATGACTCGCTTGCGGACCATGAGAGGATTCTCTGGAATCAGGGGATGAAGTATGAGGAGCACTTGAGGATCATGGTAGTCAGGCAGGAGGTGATGGGCCCTGGTGTAGCGACTGAGGTTGAACTGAAGGTGGCTAGGGAGTTGTGTGTGGAGTTTATGGGCCTGGCGGAGAAGTATCTGTGGTCTTTGAAAGACTTTCGGGCGTGCTGCGATGTGGTTACGGATGTGAAGGTGTGGATGGAGGATCGTGGAAAGTGTGGGAGAGATGGAGGAGAGTGAGAGCTAGGAAGGTGGTGGTGACAGTGACTAGGATGTTTTAAGCGTTAATTCAACGCTGGGGGTGTTTTGAACTTGGGTTTTTGATGTTTGTTTTTCGATCGCTAAGCCGTCGTGTTTTTCGGGCTCAGAGGAAGAGAAAAGGAATGGAATTAGTTTAGAAACTAGCTATAGCACAAGCGGAGATTAAATCCAAGAGCTAGAGAGTAGTGAGAATTACGAAACCCACTGAAATAGAGACATGCAGGCGATATCATAGAAATCGAAAATTCAGAGAAACGAAATGCAAGAGTACACATGTATGGGTGGTGGAAATGATAGATAGAGAGCTTTCTGAGTTTACAGGTCAGGTTTGGTTAGTCTCCTTCCCCGTGCGCAACTAATTGACCCAAACGTGTTTGGCGTGAAAAAAAAAATTTATTTTGTTGCACAAATTGGTTATCGAGCTAGTTCTAAAAATAGGCTGGTTAGCTGCTCCGCCCAACGCTACGCGTCCTGGGGTGGGTGTATGCGAGATCGGTGAGGACCTGTACACCGATAGGGTACACCTGGTACCAATGCACGTGACACGCTACAAGTTTTCGTATGGAATTCGTCTAGGTAAACTTGCTTCTTCTTCTAAATACAAAATAGACCCTTTTCATAGGCGGGGACCACAGGCGGGCAGGACAAAAGGAAAGGAAGGGGTTGTGGGTGCGTGCGGGTGACGGTTTGTGACCGCACCCGCTAGTAGGAACCCTTAGTATGACCTAGTTCCAGCGCGCACCCTAAGCCCTACCACATTCGCAGTAGATCTCAACCCACAACTCTGGCGCGGCCCGGAGCGCCAAGACCCACAACAACGCCTACCCGATACACAACTATAGGCTGTCAAAAGTATTCCTGCACTTGTAGACAAGTCATATCACAACAAGACCTCATACGAGCTCAATCCCACCCCCGCCAAACAACGAGTGAACTCACTTGGACCACGTAGGTAGACCCCCCCCCGAGGTCATATCACTATATGTTATTACATCGGGTGATCTCGTGACTCCCGCGGAAGGGGTTTTGATGCTAATGGATAATCACAATAGAGCATTTCAGGTATAAAAATAGCACATGGGACCACCAGACATGCCAAGCCTCAGTGAAGGTAAGTGAATGAAGACAGTCCATACTTCCCGACTCTCTGGACCATGAAGCTTTCTCAAAGCATGTATAATGTACTGGGGCTCACAGTATATAGAACTTGCGAATCGAATGAATCCTTCTCAGGACATCATGACGGCACTCAGAAGATTTAGCGAGCGGGCGTTGGACATGGGCTTGATGTCCAAGGACGACGAAGCCTATGCAATTTTTGCGGTGGTTTACAACGGTCTTCCCATTCTCCTTAGTCACTTGAGGCCTTTTACCGAAATCGGCCCTCTCAGCTTGGTCACCGCATTCCGGTCAGCTATCGTACTTCAGGACGAGGCCCTCATTCGCGAATTGATCCCTCATATCGAGGAAATCCACCTTCTCGATGCTTTCAGGCGCTCTTGTGCGTCTAAGAACGTCGACATGGTTGCCGCCCTCCTAACGAACCTTCCCGCACGTCTTCGGGCTACCGCCGCAACATCATATCTCGAACCTTCGGTTATCGCCGGAAAGCTTGATCTCATTCAACTACTGATTACCGGAGGAGCGGATTTGAATAAAAACATCACGGTGCATGGATATGGTCACAAAACGGGAACTTGCTTGCATTGGCTAGCATCGTGCGCACTACGGACCAGTTTTCCCGACAACGCTGTGCTCTCAATAGTCAAGATGTTCTGTGACGCCGGCGCGGATCTCAACGCAAGGGGCGAGAAACGGCAGACACCTTTACATTTCTTGGCAATCAATGGTGTTCGGAAGGTCAAGCCACTCCTAAGCTGTGCAGACTTCGCCACTGGTGGGATCGCTTGGTTATACGAATCTGTCATTCAGACACTCATCGACGCGGGCGCGGATGTCAATGCGCAGGACGCAGAAGGGAGGACGCCTCTTCATCATGCTGTGGTTCAGGGTGAGGGAGTCATGTTCAATCTCCTCTTCAAAGCGTCTGCCAACGCGTTAATTGAGGACAACGACGGGAACACCGCGAGCGAACTCGCAAACCGGTTCATGGAGCACGTGATTCGCAAGTACGAGGCAGGTCAAGTAAAAGAGCTCGAGGCTGTGAGGGAGTTGGAGGCAGCAAGGCAGCTCGAGGAAGTGAAGGAGAGAGAGGCAGCTGAGCGGAGGAGGTTTATCAAGGAATGGGAGGATGCGTTTTGAAGGGAGGAACGATGTCTTCCACGCTACATCAAAATACTGAGGTCCTTCGAGGGATCAAGTGATGCATTCTGGCTTCCCCAGTTACCCACCTGTATATTAAAAATGAATCTCAAATGGTCCAGGAATTATGACAGTTCTTCAATGAAATCAAGAGCACGGTTACCATAGTTTGTGTCTATATACGTAGGTTAACCAAACTGGTAGCCATCATGTTGTATAGCGAAGGAAAGTTCTAGCGTATCATGGAATGCCACTCGCGTTCAACAGAGGGAAGCAGTGATAACATCCAGGTCCTTAGACGATAAACGAGCACAAATAGAACGCCTCGTATATACAGGTCATTGCCGGCCTTCGGCCGGAGGGGATAATACATCATATATTATATTTTAGTACAATTCTGTATGAGAATATAACCCCATGAAGTCGGATATACACAAAACTTTATATTAATGTAAAAGGATCCAATGAAAAATTACCAAAAATAACCATTTAATTTTTGATTCCAAGTTTACCTGGACTCATGTTGGTCTATTAATACTTCACCAGCAAAAAATCTCTTGGGAATTCTAACAGCTCATGCCTGTATTCAGGAATAATTTTGAATATGGGAGAGTTGGGATACGTTTGAGGATGGAATGGTAAGAGGAGGATTTTGGAGTGGAAAATAATACCAAAATCCCCTAATTATAGGAAGAAATAAAAATCAATTTTATCATGCTTATATCATACAAAGAAAAGCAAATATTGATAATGTGATATCGTATCAATTAGAGAAAAAATCCATACGCTGATATCGTATAAAGAAAAACTTGAACAACTTAATATAATTATAACTATATTGTTCTAAAAGGGGGGGGGGGTCAGTTCAATCGTAATTATATTCTACCAAGAAAATCAAAAATCAATATGATAATATCATCTCACCAAAAGCAAAAATCAATATATCAATCAAAAAAAGCAATATTAATCACCAACTTCTCAAACCTTGCTAATCAAAACCTTTAAATAATACATTGCATATCGGTATATCTATATACTTATACAAATGGTTTCCAGCCCTCAGTCGGTTAGGACAATGAAATCAACTAGTCTCCTAACAATGTGACAGGTTGTTTTGGGAATGTGATATAATGACAGAAAGTGATATATTATATATGTTCTAGACTCATTCAGACCTTGTGTGCAATATTGTTTTATGAGGATCCCAGGTCGCCTACACGTCTGTCTCTACCTCTACCTCTATCTCTGCCTCTACTTCTACCTGTACCTCTACCTCTACTCCTAAATGCCTCTATATTCAAGTTAAGACATATGCCAGCGTCTATATAGACTTCTAATTCAAAACCTAAATCGACACCTAGAAGGCATTTATTCGACATCTATTTAGACTCTAAATCGACACCTGGTCGAGCACTGCAGCTAGTGCGGCACCTAGCAGGATTTCGAGCACTGTCTCAAGGACTATTTCAAGCACTGTTTTGAGAACCGTTCCGAGTACCATTTTAACCATTGGTGCAGGCGTAAGTAGAGGTTCAGGCACCGATAAGAATAAGGCATTGCGAGATGATAGACGTGGGTATGGGCGCGAGTGCAAAAATATTTAAGTAGAATTATATTACAGTATTATCAGTCTGCATGATTCTTATTCCGTGCTGTAATTGATAATTTCTGGGTGAGAATCCTAGGATAACGATTGACATTGGAGTTTTCAGGGTATATGTATTCGGAACGCTGGTGATGTTAGCAGGTATTGGTACTGGTCCTGCTGCTGGAAGCGGACGCTGATAGCGGGTGCTGGAGCGGGTTCTGAGGGCACGCGGATGCTTGTTCAGGTATGGTAAAGCTGGCAATATCAAGCATATCGCTGTCGTTGAGTCTCCCCTCTTCTCGTTTTTCCTTTCACAACACCATTCGCTTTTGAGTTCAAACACACAACACATGAGAGAGAGTTCAGATAAGATAGAAAATCAGATATTTGAATGCTTTGCACTTGACATCCTTTTATACCTAAGAGGACAATCACTTGTTGTTGTTGTTCTTGTCTGTTCCCCTAAAATTCTGATTACCTGCCTCAACTGTACCTTCTACACACCTAATCCACAAAAATACCTGCTGTCCGATACAAAAGAATACCACCCCTCCAAACATATACAAAGGCCATCAAAGAAATTGCTATAAATATAGCTACCAAAACCTCGCTGCTGCAAGAAATAAGAGATAAAAGTTTTGATTCTCTTGTTTCTTCTACGAACACTCGAAGAGAGTTCAGTAAAGTTATCGATGAAGTTAACGATGACATTTTCAACGAGTCTGATGTCTTTCTGAATCATCCTAAACAAATAAACGAGCCAGGTAGACATGCAAAACTGAGAGCAGTGCTGAAGCATAATAGGAAGTAAAAGAGGAGAATTCTAAAAATTAAGGGTTTATTTGTAGAGGAGTGTAATTTAAAGAAGGAAGATTCAAGGAGAGACAAATATTTGGAACAGTTTATGATTATGGATATCAATAAATATCAAACTCCTTATCCTCCACTCAGTGATTGCGTGTATGAGTACGAGCAAATTCATGACATTTGGCATCACTACCCTCAGCTTGGTAAGCCAAAGAACAAAAGGCTTAAAGTATTACTGACACTACTTTTGGAACCACAATATCTCCAACTAGATGTTGCCGAGGACCAAAATTACACTTTTGTCGATTCCAAAACCAAAGATGTTGTTATGTTGATTGTTAGGAATTGGACTAGTAGTATTTTTGTTTTTTTTTCGATTGAGTTGCAGGGGATGGAGTTGGGTTTTTATCCTTCCGAGTCGGTGTTGGTGTTATATTGGCGCTATTAACCTCTTTGCCACTAATCTGAACACCTCTTTTCTGAGCACAAGCACTACAAGAACTAGGTGAATTAAAATTATTTCCCCCAACTCCATAACCACTTGCCAGAATACCAGCCCCCGATACCATATTAGAAATATAATTCAACGTTTTCACCATAAATACCAAAAGAGAATATTTTGTATCCTCGACAAAAATTTTACCTAATAATTGTCATGATACCTATATAACATTATTATATTTTGGTATTTTTTGTTGTATACCATCGTTTGCTATCAGGAAGGAAACATCTGACCACAAAGCATCTTTTGTCTTGAGCTTTTATAGTACATTCGATGTTGTAATAGGAGGTTCAGATATCAAAACATCTACAACCAGTTGGGATAGTTTTTATGGTACCTTTCAATTGTTCTACTACAGTTCCAATTGAGAAAATAGTAGCATATGCTGGTAGAGGTTCAATACGATCATACCCAATATCGGTTGGGTCTCCTTTGAACTTAGTGATATATTAGAACTCAATTCATTTTATAGAATATATATCAGAACTTACTCATTGTTTTCGACTACAGTAATTTGTAAAAGCTTCTGTAAATCAATATAGTACAATCCAATAGAACATACACCAATGACATTCTCCATTGGTTTCTTTAGATAATTGCGAATAGAGCAAATAATCTTGAAAGTGAGAACCTAATTACCAACCATTGTTTTTGGGAAACATCTATTTGAACAATAGATAAAATTCTCGAAGATAATTAATCAGGATGTTTCATTAACTCTGTTTGTAAAGTCGAGAATGCAGTTAATATCGGTCGTCGAATTTTCATTAAATGTTTGGGGAATTGTTTGGAAGATTTCTGAATATAAGTTTTTCATTAAGGCTCATTGTATTCGATTGCTTTGAGAGAGAGTCTTTCTTCAGTTGTAGGCTATTTATATTAACGATTTCAGATAAATAAGAAAAATAATAAAAAATAATAATTGCTTGCAATAGCCAACAAAAGTATCATAATTTGAATAATGACATCATACAGTCATCAATCAGCAAACTTGACCGATAGCAACTTGAACAACATTTCCGAATACCAAAAACACCTCTTAACCCGCTATTCATTAAATTTTTGAAATTAACCACCAAGAACTGTGTTGCAACCACGTTACACGAACCCAAAAGTCTTTACCACTCAGACTTCAACCATTACCACAATGCCAAGCCCACCCACTGACATGGTCAAATCCCTCTCCCACCTGAGGTTAGGAGAACTAGATGAAGACATCACAGGCCTAACCAACACCAAAGTCCTGTCCACCCAAGCCTACAAGATGCTCAATGTCGAAGCTACCACACATACCGAGCGCCTTTTTCTTACCCTCATGCTAGGCATTGTCAACCAAAACGCCATCCTCCAAAAACAGGTCGAAGGACTCAAAGACGATGTCGAAGAGTCCATGACCATGCACGCCAACCTGACCACGGCAATTGCAAACCGCCTCGAACGAATCGACAGCCGCCACGCCACCCCCCTTCCCAACACAAACCCCCCTCCAAAAACACCCACCAACCCATTCCCCACATAAATGTCGCCCCCAACCAGAACCCGAGAAACACCCCCCGCAACCCCCCAAACACCCAGGCCCCCAAATCTTACCTACAAGTAGCACAAGAAAACCTACAACAGTGGAAAACCGTACCCAAGCAAAGACGCAACAAAAACTCAAACCCCCCCCAAACGCCAAAAAGCCCTGCGACATTCCCTGCAGCCCAACGCCGCTTCTTCGCCACCAGGACATCACCCACTCCCATCGATGCAGCTGAGCAGATGGCAGCGGAACTGTCCGTCGAATTCGGCCAACTCCTCGCCCGAAGCAAACAAGTTGCCCCCGTAACAGCACTCACAGTCTCAATCAGCGCTAAAGGTACCGTGAACGTCGTCCCCCCACCCACCGTCCCGTCCTCAACCTACACCCGCTGGTTCGAAACCATGACAGCCGTACTTAATAACAAGCTAGCCACCCCCGAGAACCCCTTCACAACTTTCCGCCCGGCCCCAACCGATGTCGACATCGCCATTCACAGCGTACCGCTCTTTGCGATACCTAACAAAGAAACCCTGGACAACACCTTCCCAGAAGTGTTCAACCTCGCCTCCGGTATCACCCCG